TATTCAAATTTGCTTCTAACTATTTTTTTTATTTGTTAAATGGCAGGTACTTTGCTTTTTCATAATCACTGAGTTAGAAGGTGTTGTAGAATGTGTCCTGAATTTACAACATCATACATCTGAGATGTACCGTAACTAGGGACACACAAAAATAGACCCTACATTTATGGAATGACCCACATGGACTGCCAATTACCAAAGTAATTTTTGAGACAATGGCCTTTGAAATCCCACTGTTTTGTTACAGTGACTGAACAGGGGCAGTTTCATGGGAAAGGTTGCAATAAGTTGTGTTTCCTTTCTTTTAAATCTGGAAAAAAATACCATGTTCAGGAAAGGACATTTTGAAAAAACGTTTAACGGACAAATCAATTTCTCACTCAATACGGCATAAAAAAAAATAAGTTGGCCAATCCTAATGAAATCTGGTGTACAGAGTTTTTGGACATTCTTCAATGTCCTCACAAGTTTGGGTGGTCCTCGTGGCATTTATTTTTATTTCTCATCAATTGCAGTTTCTAGAAAATGTGAATGAGGCTCCAAATCTTGTGCTTTAGCACCCATGTGAGCTTATAATTTGAGAACCGTAATGTGTAGAACTTTGAAATTTTTTTGGAGACTGCTACAACATTAAGGTCCTTGTGAGACAAAAACCAGCAAATTCCAACAAAGTCTTCCTATGAAATAAAGCATTGATTACCTATTTTTCATTTTGCAACCTTTCCCGTGAAACTGCCCACAGTCTACTAATAAAATGGGATAAAAATATGTTTTAAAGATGTTTGGCAGAACAAAAATAATTGGAAAAAGTAGAACAGGACTTACAGATTGAGGTTCACCTGAAAACAAACAGTCGACCACCCCTTAAAATTGAGGCTTTGCCCCACTGTATTGCAATGTGGTAATTTCCAAAGTAACAGGTACCGGTAGGCCTGGGCGAGTTGTCAATTTTTCAAGGAACAACTTGTAAGCAAATTGCATGCAAGTCACAGCACATTCTGCACCGAGTCATGTCTTGCTGAAGTCAATTTTCCTCAAAGAATTGCTACTTGCGAGTACCTGCTTCTGCTCATGCCATGACGAGTGCTCAAGTAGATGAAAAATCACATGTACCGTGTACATGTAGTGCCTCGATCCCGCCTGGTTATACACGTCATCTGACGTGAACTGGTTTAGTTAGAGAAGAAAATTTAATTTGTTGATTAGCACGGGAAATGCACTTTAGTTTTGGTTCAAATTATTATTTGATTTTTTTTTTGGGGGGGGGGGAGGAGAATTCTATGTGCATCCGCACTCACCAGATATTTAACTTGATCCTGATTTGAGATTCAGATTTCAGATGCCACGGTTTTCCAACTAAATGCATAGATCTTCCAACTCTGGCACTAGCTTGGGGCCAAATTGTTACCCTAGCGCCGTTTCCACGGTGATTTTGTCGGGCACTGATTAAGATCAATACCACAGGTGAGCGTTCAATTGATTGAGAGGCTGAAGATGGAATGCCGGACATTAAAAAGAAAGATCCATGGCTGTGATTTGACGAACACGATACTCGGCATTCTTTTAAGCGCTAGATGTAGGCCTACATTTGCACAGTATCTGACTATCATCACAAAATATTCTATCAATTTGGGGTCAACTCTTTTTCCTGTCCCTGTTACACCTGACATGATTTTACAATTGTGATGCACTTCTTAAACGGAATATACAACATTTGCAAACATCAAACAACAAAATTACCAAATTATCACGAAATACCTTACTGGACTGTAAGTGAAAGACAGTCTTAAAGTACATATAAAATCATGGCACCTGGTGTGCTGATGTTTTCAAGAAAAGTGGTATTTTTACATTCAATTTCGAAAAACTTCCTTTTTTTCAAATACTGCTCATATTAAGTTAGTCAGTATTTCTTTGAATAAGTCCAATGTAATACATTGTATCAGGGAATAATTCCAATGTAATACAATGTATCAGGGAATAATTACAATGGAATACAATGTATTTCAGGATAACCCCTGCCTGTGGCATTGCTTGCAAAATTCCCGGTAAAAAGCAACTTCAATCAAAATGCAGTGACTGTTTGGGGCAAGTTTTGGGTGCTTGAATGTTGTTGACAGTCAGCAAAATGATACCGTATTGCATGCCTTACTCTAGAGTACCAGTGTGTACTGTGTACACTCAATCAGTGTACCATACACATGCAATGAACTGCTGGTACGTATGTACACGTATTTGGGCATGCAAATTTGCTTTTAGCTGTTTTGTGTGCATTTTTTTCATCATGCGAATTCAAGTGCACTGCGAAGTGGTGTGGTTTTTGCATTTTTCATTAGTACATGTATGTGTACATGTATACATGTACATTCTCTCAAAATTAATGCATAAATTTTACATACTGTTCCATGAAACATGTATTTATGGTTCTGTTTAGGACATCTGAGTATAAAAGTATTGTTTAAAGGCATACAAGTATTTGCATGTACATTTGTCCCAAAAGTAACCTACCAAAATTATTATCACTTGGATTACATTTTTAAAGATCGTACTGGTGCTAAAACACCCCGTGAAATTATTCCATCTAACTTGCTGATTTCCAAAGATCTGTCGGCTGACAGATTTTTGGAATAAAGAGTTCTATTGACAAAATTTTACTGAACTGAAACTTAACAGGTTTGGTCTTGAACATTCTTCTTTGGATTTCCAGTGGTATTAATTATTATTGATAAACAAAATGCATAAAAAGCAAATGATCCTATAGGCCCATGCCTTTAATACGTGTTATGCAGACTGTATGATAACACATTCTTGTACGCAGGACGCGGTATCCATACATGTACATGTTCTTACAGCCTACATACATGTATATTTTAGGTCATTGATAAGGTACACATGATTTTGACAAAATTTGTGCAAATTTACTCTTGAAGAAATCTTTAATTTTCCTTTTTTAACAATAAAATTATTTTAAAAACCTGTTTCCGTTCACGTACAGTGTTACAAAAATTAGCATTTTGGATGAATAATGTTATTGCCTTTAGTGCAGTAAACAAATGCCATTGTCTGGTCATCATTAACGAAACAGTAGAACAGCTTGTGGGATCTTCAACAGGTGTTTGCAATTAGTGTTTAGAACAGTTGTCGAGTATACAATGGATATCACAACACATGACAGAGATGGTTAACATTTGATCACAATTAATTTTGTGTTTACATACATGTACATGTACCGGTATACCGGTAGTAGCTTAAGAGCATTATTTATGTGATTAAGCATGATAACCAATCTCAAATTTGTAATTTTAACGACTCAATTATATTCCAAATTTATTGCCCGCATCACTTTAATTTATTCATACCTTTTTCGTTGGGATTGCTTGGAGTGGTGGAACGATACAAATTAACTGCTCTTGAATTTGAGACTGACCTGTATTTTTGCTGATTTGTATGTACAACCAATTGTCCTCCGAGGGCAAAAGGCTATCCATTCCTATACTGTAGATGAGGTTCTCCTGAATAATTATTTCAACCTTTCAGAGTGGAAACGGAGACTGGATGAAGATCGGCGGCGCCAGGCATACCAGGCATGCTGGCGGCAAGAATAGTTTTGTTGCCCTGGAGCTGTAGTAGATTTTTGCTGTAGCATGCAAAAAAAATTGTACTAGTGTTGGGATTTAAATTTAACTTCGGTTTGAATTCCACTATTCGAATTCGATTTTGGAAAGCTGATATTCGAAACCAACCTTGAAAAAAATTAAGGCCTTCTATTTTTTGTGAAGCAGGCTAAAGAAAACAACTGGAATATCCCCCAGTTTGCTCCATGGTCTCTGATTGTCACTGCATGCACTTGCTGGTGGTCTTCTTGGTGTAGGAATAGCCTGCCCATTTGACTTATCAGAGAGTTCCCATGTCATTTTTTTTCCAACATTTATACAGCTGTGGAGTGTTTTTGTAAAGGCGCAGTGGTCATTGAATCCTGCAAACTATACCCAGTCACTGGGAGGGCATTTCATGCGGCACCTCACTCGTCACTTTTATGTTGGCGTGACTGTGTGTGCGATGGGAACTTCCAATACAATCAGGCCTAACCGTTCTTTGCCTTAAAAAAATAGTAGGATTTAACCAGATTTTGAAATTTCTAATTTCTCCCACCATGAAATTGTACAATACCAGTCATTACTGTTGATTTGTTATGGCAGCAGAATAGGCAGCTAGGAACAGTGTGCTATGCAATTGATTGATATATGAGTTTCAGTGTGCACAGTGCTGTATCTGAAGGAGGGGGGGGGGGTGAGGGGCACGCTAACATGTTACACATGTTGTGACCCCCTCCCCCTTGTGACCCCGTGGGACCCCCCTTGTGACACCTCACCCCTCAGGCGGAATTTGGGGGAAGGCAAAAACAATCTTTCAATAGAGCGTGTCAGTTTCACCAGATCACATTTATTTGTGTGTGAGCGTCTTTGGTACCAAACACTGACTAGTCTAGTCACAGACTCCCGTGTTTGAATTTACCCACTTGTTATCCGCGTGATCGATTGAACGGAAGTCCATTGAGGTCAACAATTTAAATTTTATAATTTAATAGTCATCAATTCCCTGTATCTTTATTGTAGTAAATTGTAACGCTTTCTTTTCTTCCAAAGTACCCATTTATTGCCCTTGATTGGATGGGCCCAGTCAGGACACACAAGAAATGCACAGAGTAGGATGTTACACATGTTGCAGATCCCGTACGGTGCCCGGCCATGCTAAATTCTCGTTAAAAATCTTGCAGGTTTTGAGATCAAGTTGGAAACTCCGTTGTTAAAACCCATTGAGTGTCCCCTCCAGAAAATGAGGCTTTCGAATTGCCCCCCTCCCCCCTTCTGCAAATTGGACCCCACTTTACATCTTTTTCCTAATCAGATCACGTAGGAGTTGTTTAGAAATGTGTGCATGTGTTTAGAAACTCATAATTTGTTTAGACTTTTGTTCTAATCAGCAATGTTACCTTTCAGATCAGCGGCCACAACATTAGTAATCTGGATCCCTTGGGAATCAACAACGCTGATCTGGCTGGTGAAATACCTCAAGAGCTCCTTACTAAGAACTATAAGTTGGGTAAGGGTCTCTGACAGAGTGGGATACACAGGGTTCCCAGCCTCTTTGGAAATCAAGAAAAAAACTTGACAATGAATTTTTCCAGTAAGGGAAACTCAGGGAATTTGGGAAAAACACCGCAAATCAGGGAAAACTCTGGGAATTTGGCAGTGACCCAGAAGCGAAAGGTTTTGGCCAGTTTGGCGTATGTGTGTCAACGTTGTGTCCATTGACTGACTGGCTCTGGTGGCTTGTCAGTGTTCATGCAGTGTGAGTATTATCAGTATCTAACAAGGTGAGGAAAAAAAAATGAAGCCCAAATGGCAGGACCACTGTTTGAATGAAGTTTTGCCTTTCAAAATCTGGGATATGAAAGCCCAGTCAGTACAAAGCTTTCTTTTAGTACAAAAATCATTCAAATCACTCATGTACTTTTCAAGTTACAGATTTTTGAACACAAACACAGTTTTAAAATTCTGTACTTGGATCACAAAGAAAGGTGTTCATTCAGCAAAATGAAAACAATTGTCAAGGGATGCATGTGAATTGTTTTCTTTTTTCTGAAAGAATACTCACCTTTTGTTGTGATCCGTGGACAGAACTTTAAAACGGTGTTTGTATTCAAAATTCCGTAACTTGAAAAGTACATGAGTGATTTAAATGATTCTTGTACTAAAAGAAAGCTCATTGACTGGGCTTTCATATCCTAGATTTTGAAAGTGCTACAGGCAAAATTTCATTCAAAAATTGGTCCTGCCATTTTGGGATTCATTTTTTTTTAAACTTACCCTGTAGTTGCTTTGCTGCAAACACTCGACTTCCCAGCAACCTTGTTAAAGTGAGAATATTTCTCATGGATTCTTGAAATGTATCTCAGGGAAATATCAGGGAAAACCTCAGGAAATTCTGTTTTCATTAAGCGCTGGGAACCCTAATACGTGTACATTCTGACATTCCCAATAATCCTTCATCATTCTTTGTTTTGCACACATCTACATGTAGATCCTTAAGCACCACTAATTGTGAGACTGCATGTAAATCCAACTCCATCACTCTTTACAACTTACATTTTTTTCACAACAAATATTCCAAATTCCACAGTTTTTTAACTCTTTGTGTGCAAATTAATGTCCATTATTGGATGGAGTTAAAACAGTGCATGGTGATTGTCAAGCCGATATATGGTAAGCGTGTTGTCTCTTGAGTTAGGATGACCGTATGCAGTGAAAGTTCTCTGGAAGACCAGTAGCTACCGTATGTGGCTATACATCGTGAAGGTTGAAATGTGCATGTATTAAGGTGATGAACTTTATACACCTAAGTATGTTGACAAGTACAGTGAACAAAAGTTGGACGGGTGACGTCTAAACATTCTAATCCCTTAGACGTTTTGTACACACACACAAAGACTGTGAAATCTGTGGAGGCAGACCGTGTGTTGATCTTGAATTTGGCCGTTGTGCACGGCCTATTGTTGTACAATTTACGCTCAAGTGCACACCCAGGAGTATTGAAACATGTATTTTTTTGGCAAGAAATATCGTACAAATTACACTTTTGGAATGACTCTTGCGAATCAGTATTTGTGGCATTTGGGTATATATATACATGTAGCCGAAAGTTGGCTGGAACATTTTGCCTTTTGCGAAAATCAAAATTTTCGGTAAAAAACCCCGAAATTTCATCTCAGTAGATACAGGTATCGTACTTTTGGAGAAAACTGTTAACACGCATCTTCATTTTTCTCGATGCAAAGCATAGATTTCTTTCGAAAGTGCCATGGTCTGGCCCTAATCATCACCATAGCAAGGAAAGGAGTTCACAGGAAGCTTGATCCTGTTATTTACTTACAGTCAAGTACGGTATTTCACGATATACCGGTATTTGACGGACTTTTCATTTTTGAATGTTTGCAAATGGTGTCCATTAAACATAGGTTTTTAACAACTTTTGGTTATACATTGTAACACCATACTGATCACTGACTAAACCAACTTAATTTAGAAATGACTTACCACTCCCATACATGTAGGCATCTTTTAGTTCAACGTTCTTAACAACCTTTGTTTTCTGTCTTTCTGTTGTAGAAGACTTAGACAGTTAAACATTACTAATAATATTAACAATTTAGTAACAATTAACATGTACATGTAAAGTCTACAAACTGGTGTCCCAAGTCGCATCAGGAAACATGAAATTAATGTACATGTACACTCACTTTGTTTTCATCGTACTGTCCGACGTTCATGTATGTATCTTCATTCATTTCTATGGAAATGTCCTAATATTTCCGATCATTGGTGAAAGAAATAGAACACCTACATGTAGTGCGTGCATTTAATACTCATGTTCGTTCAATAATGCAATTATTATGTGAGACAAGGTGGTATACCGGTATGTCACACTTTGGTAAGTTTTCCAAAATTTTCATTACGGCATTCCTTTTTTTATTCCTTGGCTCTAGGTTCAGACCAACCCTATTTTAGACTCCCGAATCAAGGTGAATAAAGAACCACTTTTTTGTTTTTACTGCTGACCTAGTTTCGAACCCCGACTACCAAGAAAATAAATTTATGAAAAGAAAATGAATATCAAATTTAGGCAATCAGGCTCTGTGTAGCCCCCCCCCCCCTAAAACAAAGAGAAAAAGATTGAGGCGCATGATCAGAATCAACGCGCACTGAGAATATATATAACTATATATATTTGTTTTGCCTTTGAAAAGCATTGGAAACTTACACAATGTATATAATTTTACTTAAATCATATGACACAATGATGCGAGGGTGTTGCCTCCATACATTCTTTTTTTACATTGTAGTTTACTGTACATGTACATGTACATGTCTATACTCCTGGGTGGAGAGAGGCAAGTGGGGTGAGCAGCTTGCCCAAGGACACAACATATGCCCAGCAACTGGATTTGAACCCGTGACCCTCTGATCATATCACAAACCCTAACCACCAGGCACATTCCCCCACTTCATAGGCAATGCAATATGAGATCCATCGAAGCAAAAAGGGAAAAACTTTATGTACATGTACATGTTTACAAACACAACAAAATTTAGAGGGGGGGGGGGGGGGGAGTAGTTACGCCTGGTTGAGAGCATGCAAGGTTTAACCCTTTTCGCCGAGCTTTTAGGGTAAATTGTTTGTGCTCAACTCTGGGCATGGCAGTATTTTTTTTGCCTGGGGTGATGTAAACTGTTCATCCTTGAACAAACTCTGCTGTCACAGATTATGTTTGCTGTTTGCTTTGATGCTTTTAAGGTAATGGACACCTTTTCCCCAAAATGTACTTTTACAAATTCAAGTAACTATCATGACAACGTAACAAATCAGATTATTTACAAAACTAACCTGTCAAATTTCAGCTCAGTAGACAGATACTTTTTTTGAGCAAACTGTTAAAAGGAATCTTCTTTTTTCTCTATGCAACGCTAGGTTTCTGTTTAACATAATTAAAGCTCTCCCTTCCAAAATGAATAAGGTACATTACACCGTCTTGTGGTATGATCCGAGTTTGTCACTTGTGAAAACAATATTTTTGTTTTGATTGTGTTCAAATGTTGTCCAATAACCTTTAACATGTAGTTAATTGCCTTAGTCTGACAATTAAAACAATGCAAAATTATGATGTTTGAGCTGATGTATCGACTTACCATCTCAAGCGCACACCAATGAGCTAATATAACGGGTCACTGCACACAAAGAGTTAAAGGCTTACATTTATAGGATCAGTTGCATATTTTTTTACCTCAAAACTAAATTTATAAAAAGAATTTTTATCCAAATTGAAGCTTACTTGAGTTCTAAACACCCCGTGAAATTACTCCTTCTGGCTTGCTATCATTTACAAATGTAAAAGAAATCAAGAAATGTACCTTGATTTCCGGTGATCAGTCTGTTGACTGATGTTTGGAAATAAAAGAGTGCTAACCGGGTAGATATGATAGACGAAATGTGTTTCATGATCGAAAGGTTGTGAATGATTTTTCAATATTTTTGTGAAAAGTGAAATCTCCACTGCGCTGAAACTTCAACAGGTTGTGTTTTGAACATTCTTCTTTGGCTTTTGAGTGGTGTTATTATTGGAAATGAACAAAACGTGTGAAATGCAAATGATCCTACATGTTTATTGAAACAATTAAATAGCAAGCACCATGTTCAAGGATCGACTATTGCATTTATAGGCCTACTGTTCAACTCGACCAGAGTGTCCTAATTTTTCAGCATGACTCTGAAATGACGGCCTCAAACGGGTCAAGTCCTTTAAAACCGTAGAGTTATAATAAATCACTAGAGCGCTGATGTACAAAGTGATGCCTGCTGGGTGCATCCATGTTTGTGCACAAACCTATGGAAAACTCCAAATTTTGTACGGCTTTTGTACGGCTATTTTCATCGGCATTTGTATTCTATACAGGTGTGTTGCCGTTATCAAAGTCGATGCGCCCAAAACCAAAAGGCACAATGAGTAAATGAGCGATTCATTTTGCTCTGCGCAAACAACGCAAAGGAGTGCACGTATCTGCTGCAGATGATTTTGCCGTGATGTTATTTAACCGCCATGACGCGCTTAAGCTGTTTGCGTATGCGTGTTACACTTTCAAAATTCACTCCATCTAACTGCATTATGTTCTACAAACATGCACATAACCCAAAATGTCAGCGCGCAGGATGGCTTTAAAGTATCTCCGCACACAAGAATGAGGAGTTAGTGCTCTAGTAATTTAATATGTACCGGAATGTGGCTCTATGTTTTTAACTTCTACATATCTTTAACATTAGTTATTAAAAACTATGGTGAACAGTCTTATTTCTTCAGAGCAAATTCCATTTATTATTTGGTGTAAAGGCATGCCATTGACTTTGCTGTTGTGGTGTAAAATGGATTCCTGTTGCACATTAGAATTTTACTGTGGACTTTTTCTCCGGGTTGGAAGCTTTGAATTGTATGCATGGCTGCTTTATTACTGTTTAACGCAACATGTATATCGGCAGATAGCTAAGTTTAATCGCATCAGACCATGTTGTTTGGTATTATAACAACCTCATAATGCATGAACTACATGTAGTGTCTTTTTTGGCTGGCCTGGGAGTTGTCTTTTTGGCTTGTGATCTTGAGCTTCACCTATTTGGGATGATTTGAAAGGATGAAGTGCTGTTGTTAGTTGGTGGAGCTTGCTTTTGTGTCTTACGAAGCGGTCTCTTTTAGCTTTGCACAAAGTGCATACATTGCACAATGCAGCAAAATGAGTAGGCTATAAAAGAAAGTAAAAAAAATCTGATTTGGTACATTTATACATAATGCATGTGTGTGACATGACATGTATTTTCAGCTCTGCACTGTTACAATTTTCATCACTGCACCATCAACTGTTACGGTACATGTACATGAAGAAATGTACCGGTACTTTTTTGTTGTTGAACTTGTCCATGTTTGTTGTACGTTTTACAAATTATGTACATGTACATACTTGTAGTTGTGCTTAAATTTATGTTGGTTGATACAGACATGTATGTACAGTGGTAGGCTCTTCGTGAAATGGGGTGCTGACTGCAGTTTGATTATGAAACATGTACATTTTGTACTACACTAAATTTTGCTTTGACATATTTGAAGCACATCATTGGACTCAACTAAGCCAGGGGGCACATGTACATGTACATGTATGTATTTTTAGCCCTAGCTGCTCGATCTGTTCTGCCCCAAAAATCATCTAGGACTTTGTACATGTACATGTACAATAATGGACTGGGCTCCGCCCCCATGCCATGGTTCCAATGTACATGTATGTAAATCTGGCTGCCTGACAGTGAAAATTCACTGGTACTCTAACTTGATCAGCAAATTGGGAGGCATGCAGTTTTGATTGATTGCCCATGCGTGACATGTTTTTATGAGTTTTGTAAGGCAGCTACATGTGGCTTGCAAATTGCCCATTATGTGATATTTTACAAGCTTGTCCAATTGTGACAGCGTTGGAAAGGATTTGGCATGTTTGGTTAGGTACATGTAGTGTACACTAACAACATTGTGTTCATTTTTGTTGTTGCTACAATTGGTAACAAGAAATTAGCATATATAAAAAAGCTTCCCAGGCATTATAATATTTTTTGTATATTTTTTGTATTTTTTATACTGTACAGTATAGTGTACAAGTACTTGCACCGTATAACATCACTTGGTCATACGGTATGCATCCATGCAAATGATTGCATTGTTTTTTTAAAGTCATATTTTTAAAGTGAAATACAAAATATCAGTAGTAACGCACACTTACCGATTTTGGACTTTTTCTCTTAACATGTACAATGTACTTGTACATTTAGGTATAAGGTATTAGGTATTTAAGTTATTCAGAAGGGCTGTACATACATGTACATCGGAATCGAGTACCCGACTGCTTATGTCAGGAACTGGTTCAGATTATGGGATCATGTACCCGTAATCACCCATACAAAGTGCTTACAATGTAGTTACTTCTCAGGACAATGAAAAAGAAGGATTTTGAATGTCGTTTGTGGAATTTTCAAAATGAACTCCAGGCTACATGGGAAAACAACACATATTTTACGTTTATGACACTCACGGAAGTTGCAGTTTACACTGTAAAGCTATAAAGCTCACTGTACACACTTGCACATTGTCGCACCAATGTGCGAGTATAATACAAAAACTGTCAACAGCAACTATACTGAGATTTAAATGGACCGATCCAGTAAGCACCACCCCATGGGGTTCTGACCTATCACAGCCGTGATTTATGTCCGACGTGTGTGCACTAAAGTCCGACATGCGTGCACGCGCGTATGATGCGGGCGGAAGGAAAATGCAGCGTGGCATTGTTGTTGATTTGCCCACGTGCGCACTGGGCGGAGCTTACTGGATCGGTCCATTTTGGGGTTGGGCTTCCTAAAGGGTTCCTGCACTGGTACCCATGTTTTCTTTTTCAATCGGGTACCGGATTCCCATACTACCCATAAATAAACACCCCTTGTATTCATTGGTTTAGACCCCAACTCATCAAAAGGTAATTTGGGTACCCGGTTCCCACATTACCCATTAAAAAACACCCCTAATATTCATTGGTAATAGACCCCAACTGTACTACCCGTAAATAAACACCCCTAATGTTCATTGGTTTAGACCCCAACTAATGAAAAGTCAGGGTCTAAGAACAAAAAATCATGTACTTAACACACGTTATACATGTACATGCAATTTACGCAGTATTTTACATTGACATGTAAATGTACATGTCAATGTATCTTACATATTGGTGCAATTTTAGAGCATTCGGCAAATTGACTTAGACTGTTTAATCATTTATCACTATGAAAGCATAATAAAATACATCATGTACCGGTGTATGAACAATGAACATTTCCACTGGAAATTATTTTTCATAGGCTGTAATAACCGGATGGCTTTTTGAATGTTTTTTTTTTTTAATATCACTCCTTCATTGAATGAAGCAAATGTTTAATACTTGCATTTATTTTGATTGCTCCCCTTGAATTGATCTCAGCATTTTGTGGACAATCTTTGATGTGGTATTTATATTTTTTTGGGGTCCAGTTTTGTCCGTTTTGCTCTTCATCTTTCTCTTATCTTAAAACGAAAAATTTAATGTGCTGGTAGCTTTTGGCTGATATCGCTCAAATTTAATGGATGATTGTTTTTACATTTTGGCTCCTTCAACGCTAACAGTCAAAAGTAACAGGACATTAAACTGTGCAATGCTTGCTTCTGAAAGCAGTATAGAATTCAAAGTAGTCAAGCTGAATATTAGTAGATTTATTAGTAGTACTTAGTTGTACTACATTTTGTAAATTATTTAAAGGAAGAGTACTTCATTTGCAGCTATCCAAAAAATAACTGACAAAATTATTGTTGAAAAGCATACTTGGTTTAAAGATAGTAATGGCGCTAAACTCCGTATTAGATTAGTCTTTCTAGCGTGCTGTCATTTTGAAGAAAACAATAAAAAGAAGGTCATTTCCAAAGATGCGTGTTAAGACACATTTTTGGAAATTTTTGTTTTCAATTCGGCGAAGCCGTGAATGAGTGCGTGCAAGCTTTGACACGACGCACGCACGTGCGCAGTTGTTATAATTTGTTGGTTCAGTGCGTGACATGACGTAGCTGCAATCAGCTGAACGAGAACGTGTCCCTGACGTTGAATTCGTCCCTGACATTGCAGAGGCAAAATATGACTCTACAACTTTTGAATTGAAATTGAGATCCTAGAATATTGTTTTCACGGAATATACAACATTCACAGAGCTAAACTTTCAGGTTTATAAGCACCCTTCTTTAGATCTCATTCAGCACTTTTGTTAACGACTTTTGAATTGAAATTGAGATCCTAGAATATTGTTTTCTCTGAATATACAACATTCACAGAGCTAAAAGTAATTTCAGATTTGTTGTTCAGCACCCTTCTATAGATTTTGAGCACTTCTGTTGCTTCAAAAAAAAAAATAAAGCACAAATAACAAATGATGTACTCTACCTTTAAACGTTCCATGCACAAAGTTCTATCTTGTGATTTTAAGAAACCCTTAAACATGTATCATACTTGGTCGGACAAGTTTAAAAATGATCGGTGTGCTATGTGCTTCAGTCCCCCTGTTTTTTCTTCCCGTGTTCAACAGGTGAGCATGACATGGACAGAGTGTTCACTTTACCACAGACGACTTTCATCGGCGGGGAGCAGACTGCGTTACCACTACGGGAGATCATCAGAAGACTGGAGGTAAGGCTGCATCAAAATGAGCTCCGTGCGCAAACAAGAGAGGGCGCTGTTGAACGCTTCCGAGAGCCGAGTGGATGGGGCACACTGAGTGCGCGTGTGTGTTCGCGCGCGTGTAGCGCAGGGTACACAAGACTTGTTCTGTTCAGAATTTTTACAAAGCCATGCATCTCCGCATTAGCGTTGGGCGTTGTTGCTTGTACGACCTGAAACTGGTTGTCACTTGATTTTTCTTTTGAAATATAAATTTGATTTAGCAGTATTGCCTGCCTCGCCATTCCATGAAAGTCCTGGCCGAACTGTTATCCTTGGAAGAGCAGGCTTATACCTCATACATATTCATGATCAAAAGCCAAACTCTCACTGGTCAATTCACCATCACGTGCCAGGTGTTATTTTTGCAAACCAGGTTTTGGGGTCATTGCGTTTAAATGGTGATATCCTTTGAACGGATTGAGCAATTTCAGTGATTTTGTCATCTAAAAGTAGCTTATGACATTCGCTTTCCAGTCATTATTATGCTTGGTGCTACATATTTTTTTTTAAATACAAAATATATTTTTGGGGGTTTGGGTTCCACACCCTGTAGGTTCAAACCCTGCTCCAGTAAATTTCTTTGTTCAACTTTAAAAAAGTAAATTTCTTCATTATTCACAATAACACAAAATGCACCACATATAATTTAATTCTTTGCTACAATAAACACATTTCATATTGCACTGCCTGTAATGTGACCATTTCTGCATGTTTTTGGTTTAATTTTTTTTTTTTTTTAAATTTAGGACACTTATTGCCGGAGCATTGGAGTGGAGTACATGTTTATCAATGACCGGCAGCAATGCGATTGGATCCGGGAACGCTTTGAGACGCCCGGCATCATGCAGTTCACTAAGATGGACAAACGGCTGATACTGGAACGACTGATACGCTCCACAAGGTAAAATGATTGAAATAAAAGTTGGAAATCTGGTTCGTTAATAAAAATGTCATACATGCGCGCGCACCACTGATTGCTAGTGCCCATTGGATAAACACTCAAGTTGCGTTAATTCTGGTTCCAATGGTACCGATGCTACATGTACTTACATGTAATGGCCAGTGGGCGTGGTTTAAACTGAAGTGACGTCACACTAACGAACGGGATAGTGGCCAGATGGGCATATGTGCAGAGGGGGGGTGTTCAGAGTTCAAGAACATACAGTGTAGATCAATATTTTTCATTCAATTTTTTATAATGTGCGAGTACCTATACATGTACAGTCCATAGGCCTAGAACATGTGTACCACAGGTACACATACATGTACATGTGATATATTTTGTGCGTACATGTACGGGTACATGTGCTGGTAGTTTTGCAAAATTTTGGCAGTCATCACATTGTTATTTCTCCAGCTGGCAGTATACACATGTGCTAACATGCAGTTCCTTGACCAACTCTGAACAACATGAACATTTGTCTTCAAGCAGACTCGAATCCTCGATCCTTATTGGTCGATCCATGGCAACAAATCCCATGTAGCACGGTCTATACCGCACTCCGCGTATCGTGCTATTCTGAGATACTGCTGCCGTTCCTGCTGCGCTTACGGGACACAGAAAATGTAGTGCGTCTGTGTCCCACATGTACGGCCGAGTGACATATGTACATGTAGGACACAGACGAAAATTCCGAGTTCACTCATGCTTGTGGGATAACTAATATGTTGCGCCAACGCACTCATTAGTGCTGGGCGAGTATCCTGAGTACTCGACTACTCACGATTAGTGTTTGCTACTCGTTGTTCTACTTGTGGTTTTTCATCTACTCGAGTACTCGTCCTGGCGCGAGTAGAAGTAGCGACTCGCGAGTACCTTTTTTTTCTTCACAAATCACTACCTCCATCTGTTTCCTTGGGATTCCACTAGCTCTCTCAACAAATACATTTTCAAGTAAAATGAGCCAACATTTTGCCTACATTGTAGTTAGGATATCTCAGTGCTAAAGAATGCAGTGTGCCTTCCACGCTTTTTATTTGTAGTAACTTCCTTCTTGGTTATTTTTAATGCCATGTTTTGTTTTGATGGGGATTTAATGAACTATCCGTGAATAGCCGACTATTCGCGAGTAATTTCTCTGCGAGTACTCGCAGGAAAATCAACTACTTGCCGAGGACTAGTGCTCATACAAAATCGTTTGGTGCCGGTTCCTGAAGCCTGCTGGCTGGCCAAGAAGGGATCTGTGGAATTTTGAGGTTTTTATTTTGATACGGTAGTTTTTGTTTTTGGTGTATGCTCTTGCAACTTCTCAGACCGCGCCTTTCACTTGTAAAATTGATTTTCAGTTAATGAAACAGAAAAATGAAAGTACATCACCACAATCTCAATCAACAAATAACGCTTGCATAAATAATGTCTAAACGTGTACATGATGTACAAGACCAGGAAGAGTCCAGGAAGTAAAACAAAAGTAGGTTTTTCACACCTGTTTGATTTCAACATGTGCATGTTTCCTTCCTCATTTGGTCCATGCTCTGTGCACAGTACTTTTAAAGAGATTTACTTTTTTTTCATTTGTAGTGTATTATCTTCATTAGTTTAAAAGTATGTACGTATGTCTGAAGACGATCAGAGCATACTGACCGAAACGTTGAGTTTATACATGTGGTTCTTTTCAGAACCATTCTCTTAGTTGAGAAATTATTCGCACATGTGTTTTCAGCAAACCTTTCATTCACCAGCTAGTCTGGTTCCCTGACCTGACAATTCCCTGACGTCTATATAAATTGCTCCGTTTCGTCTGGAACCAGACTACTAGAACAGTATTTTTTTCCTTGGTTTTTCCAGCATCTATGAACACAAAACTATATTTGCTATAAAACACTATTCCCCAAATCAGTCCGTTTCTTAAAGGGGCACTAGGTCCTGAAATCCTCGAAAATTTCATGTTTTGGATGTTTACTTAGCCTATTTCAATCATCTGGTTGAAAGGAAACCAACCTAATGTCTTACCGTTCCCGAGAAAAGACGAAAAAAAACCGCTTGTTTACATCGGACACGATGGAGTGCGAATACATTTTTAGTGTCGTTCTCAGTGTACGATATACACGTTGTGTGTCTCGGGAACAGTGGTGCCCAATCACCAATGCAAATAAAAGTGGTTCCTTCAACGTCCGCGAAAGGCGAACACTTCACGAATGAAATCACAACTAGCATCCAAACAGCTCAAATTTATGGGGTCGCAAAAGTGGACCCCAAAATTCGTTCTCACATGCATAACACAGGAATAACACAAAAACGCACAGTTTTGAAAGGATACATGTATGTAGTTGTGTGGATGTTTATATCCTACTTTTAAATGTTATTTCCGATTAGCATAATCTCGTTCAAAGCGTGTTTTGTAGCCCAATTGGGCTGTTCCAGGACCTACGGTAGTGTCCCTTTAAAAATTACAGCAAAAGCAAGTTGTACACATAACCTTTAACAACTATGCACTTTGGCTGTCTGCGTGTGCGCCACACAAATCTTATTTGCATTTCAATTATTTAAGTCAGAATATTATTGCATATTCCCTGTATGGGAGTGTTTTTTTACTCCACACTCCATTTGAAGTGGCTTGTTAATATTTTTTTTGGCCTCCAGATTTGAGGAGTTTCTGGCCCGGAAGTGGTCGGCCGAGAAGCGCTTCGGCCTGGAGGGATGTGAAGTGCTGGTGCCTGCCCTGAAGAGTCTTATTGACGTGTGTAGTGGCCAGGGAGTGGAGAGCTTCGTGATCGGTATGCCCCACCGGTGAGTAGATCATTTTTTGCCCATTATGGTTCTGGCAGGTTCGCCAGAGGGCGCCCTCTTCAGCCACATGCATATTCATAGTCTTGTTCCCCAGTGAATTAGCATTTTAAAGGGCCCATGGCAATGTAATCTTTTTAATGCAATCCTTGAAAATGCACCTTTGTGTCCCATTTATCCTTATTTTCTTTTTTCGGTTTGCCATTACAAGAGTACCTGTATTTTTGGTCTCTTTTTGGTTTTTATGCTAATCGCGAATCTCCATATTCATGAGCAAAAGTGTGATATCATTTTAGGCAGTTACAACTCGTTTCAGCACCAAGAGTTTCCAGAACTTTGGATATTTCGCTGAACATTGTGAATTTCCTTTTCTTTGGTGATTCGTTGTTGTGTCAGTTCATGGCAGTAAGCCAGTGAGCAAACTTTTCTCACAAATACTTGCAGTGAACAAATTTTAGGTTTAAAATTTGAACAGAAAAACCCTAAAATGAACAGTGTCTTCCTGAAATGACATCACAGCAACAGCGCCCACAGTTGTCCAGAAAAGCAAAAGATTTTGTGTTAATGCTTAAAGAAATGCACTTTTCAATAAAAATTGCCCAAAAGAGACGTCAAATTGTTTTCATACATTTAAGATGAGTAGAAAGTTGCACAGAATGTGTTCGTAAGAATTTTTCACTTCTGGTGAAATTTTCCCTTTAAAGAAATTTTCCCTTTAAAAAGCATTGTACAAAAGTGAAAGATTCTGGGCTAGGCTAGCTTGGCTTGCCATAACCGATACACACCAACTTTATATGTTGGAAGAAATACATGTCATTAGAAATTGTAAAGCCTGATAAAATGTCAATCCTTTAACTAAAGTACTACTGCAAGGATATTTGAATCAAATCTGAGTAGAGACTATTACACATTATTGTGGAAATTTAGGTCTCGTTCAAATTACGTCATTTCCTACAGACCATCCACATGCATCGGCTTTTTGAGCGTCAACTTGCATAACGCGCATCGGCTGCGTCGTATTTCGAACACATTTTGAGCAACAAGCTTGCGTGTATGGAACATTTTCAACACTGCGCAATGCTTGCTAGATTGCGTAAAATACGCAGTTGCACTTCTCCTACAGAAATGGCTGTCATTGAACGAGCCCTATACCGGTAGGAGCCATAGTGGTTATTGTGGAGCCTGAAATGTCAAACCTTGTTTTGAGCAATAGCAGCCTACCGGTAGGTCAAACCATCACAGCTCAATCATATAGAATTATATTTCAAAGAGAGTTGAAGTAACTTAAAGTTGGAATCAGTTGTATGCGGAAATACAGATTATACATGAACAAAATGTGTATTGGTGTCGTAATGACAAGACTGTCAATATGTTTCAGAAATAAGGGCCAAAAAACAAGTGTAGCTCTAGTGCTGCCTTATTGCTGCAGCAAGTGTGCGGAGTTGGTATTTGTTTTTAGTGTCGGTAGAAGTCTAGACTTGTTTAAAGGGCAATGGGAGATTTTTTTGAGACTTGGTGGCAGCAAACATACCGGTCCTTTTCTATTGTTGACATCATTTTGAACATGCATGCGCACATTACATTGTAGGTCATGGAAGTTATACATGTAGGCCTACATTAGATAACTTGGGTCAGTATTGGTCAAGACCCCCATTGGTTTGTACACAGTATGCCAGGAGGTGAGATACAAACATTTTGACTGTTGGTGACCTCTGAAATAGTAGGAGGGTGAGGAGTTTAATTTCTCTTTCATTTCATTTTGTACCCCAGTGGTCGTCTGAACGTTCTGGCCAACGTTGCTCGCAAGCCCCTGGAGCACCTCTTCTGCCAGTTTGACTCCAAGCTGGAGGCAGCTGATGAAGTGAGTGCACACAATTCATCCAAACCAATGAAATTACGCTGCTTCTGTGCCGTTGAGTCCAAGGACCACGTTTACCCAGCAGATTCTCTTGCACGTAGTAAAGGCTTATTTACACATACGCGACTTTGCTGTGTGACAGTGTCGCTCATTTTTCCCATGGTGGGTGTGAAACACGCCGTTGGCTTGATCGAGCTGCTTATGTTGGTTGGTGGGTGGGTGGTGGGTTGGTTTATTTACTCGGCCATATATTGTATTCATGCAACTCTAGTATTACAGCTTTGCATTCGAAGACCAATTTTGCAAACACTGACGCGCATGCCTCTAATTGGCATATTTTTGCATATTAGATCACGCCCCATTTGCATTTTTTTCTGTACCCTTGAGGTATAGGTACAGCCCGAGTGCACGGATGGTGCAGTTAGCCGTCTTCACACGTTACCCGGCCGCTGTGGGTTGTACCCACTTAGTACTTATACACAAATCAATTTATAAGTGTATACATTTATGCTTACATGACAAAGTCGTGCGACTTACAGGTACCATGTGATTTTGTAAAATCACATCACATAAATATTTCCCCTGGAGCCTGAAATGAACAATTGTAAAAATGATGGATGAAAAAATTGCGTGGCACAACACGTATTCGTGGATATACCCGGGGTACGTGCGTCTGCGACATTGTTGTGTGACAAAGTCATTGTGGCAAAATCATTGCGACAAAATCACGTATGTGTAAGTACATGTATAGGCCTTTAAACTGCAAATTTAATATTAATGTGTTTTTTTTATGCATTGCCCATTAGAAATGTACAGATGAGCAAACATTGGATTTCAGGACTATTTCTTTTGTCAACACTGCATAAAAAGAAGTTGAACAAGTGTCGTGCCCAGGGGATGTAAGAATAACAGACCCCCGGCAGAATTTGATTCCCAGCCTCTGAATAAATTGATCATGAAAACACTCCTACAAGAAAATCTGTCCGTCTTATGCAAAATTACCATATTTGAGTTTATGCCATTTGTCGTCTTTTGCCAGGGTTCTGGAGACGTCAAGTACCATCTTGGCATGTCCCACTCGCGCCTGAACCACATTACTAAGAAAGATATCCACATTGCCATCGTGGCTAACCCTTCCCATCTTGAGGCCGTTGACCCTGTGGTTCAGGGTAAAGTACGCGCTGAGCAGTTCTACAGAGGGGACACTGAGGGCAAACGGGTAAGTAGGGCTGGGACTTGATGTTTAATTTTGTAAACATTCAAATCAACTTCTTTCGCCATTTAAACAGTAAGTTAAGATGCATCACCCGTGCTCTGCAAAAATTAAATAAGCCAATTTACTATTGTAAAGCGTTACCAAACAGAAAATGATTAAAGGTAGAGGGGACCATTTGCAGCTATCCAAAAAGTAACCGACCAAATTGTAGGTCTGTCAAATTACGTCACTTTCTACAGATTACCACGTGCATCGGCATTTTGGGCATCAAATTTTCGTGACGTGCATCGGCTGCGCCGTATTTCGAAGAATTTCTGAGCAACACACGCGCGTGTTTAGAATGTTTTGTACACTGTGCGCACACGCATCTGATGGCGTTTAACTAACAGTTGTAATTTTTCTATGAAGATGGCGTCCTATGAGAGAGATCTACATGTACATGTTTTGTTCAAAAGCTTATTTTGCACTCCCTAATAAACCATTACAAAGTGAGATAATATGGTAATGACACTAAAGTCCATGTGAAATTATTCCTTCTGGCATGCTGTCACTTTGAAAAAAAAAAAAATATGACATTTCGAAAGATGTGTCGAGTGACACATTTTTGGCAATATGCGTTGGTAGTTGGTTTGTAATTGGGGAATCTGCAACTGGTACATGCAAGCGTTGACACGACGCACCTACGCTATTATTAGCGAGAATCGTTGGTTCAGTGACATCACGTTGTTACATGTATAGTCGGCTGAATGAGAATCATGTCCCGAATGCTGATTGCGGGGTTGTGTTACGAGAGGACGTAATTCAAAGTATGACTCTTCATAAGATGGAATTTGGGTCGGGTTCAATATTGGGTTTTGCCCTTCACTGACGTATTTTATAAACACTGTATACTCATTGTTGTCCCAAGTGATTGTGAGAAAAAATCACTCGCATGGGACTCCAACCCACGACTTCCTGCATAGTTGTGCAGACGTCTACCACTCGACCGCTCGACCATCATAAAATGCGTCAGTGAAGGACAAAACCCAATATTGAAAGTATGACTCGGCAACTTTTGAATTGAAACAAAGATCCTAGAATATGGTTTCTCGCAATATACAACATTCACAGAGCTAAAACGCAGAAAGGCTACTTGCTCACCCGTCTTTAGATTTTTAGCACTTTCGTTGCTTAAAACGAAAAAAAAAAATGCACAAATGACAAATGGTCCATTCTACCTTTAACTGATTGAAAATATAAAAATGCGGACATAATTGCAAGCCTGATGCAAATGTTTGAGTCGAATATCCATCGTTTGATTTGTTTGATACAACTTCAGGTGATGAGTATCCTGATGCATGGTGATGCTGCGTTTGCTGGCCAGGGCATTGTCTACGAGACCTTCCATCTCTCTGATCTCCCAGACTACTCCACGCATGGCACCATCCATGTTGTCGTCAACAACCAGGTAGGTTCAGATTGAATATCAAAACAACTTTGTCCAGTAAGGGGAGGGGAGGCGGTTTCGAACCCCCCACCTCAATGGGCTCCCTGCGTGAACAAGAGAGGGCGCTTTTTGATCACACTTGAGAGCCAAGGGGCTGTATTCCCAAAACTCAAACTTAAGAGAATACTAAAGTCAGACTTAAATCTTAGCACCCTGCTAACTTTGAAGTGGGGCGCTTAATTTGGTATTCACAATAGATCTAAGCACCCTGCTTATCTTAGTGCTCAACTTAACTTAAGTGTTCAAAGCAATCACTCTCGCTCATGCGCAGAACATTTATGTCATAAACGTTCCTACGTAGCGGCATTTCAATCAGTGTGTGCTTGTTTCATAGAAATAATGCGCTTGAATAATTCAGCCACGCAGTTTCCGAGCCCAAGTTAGTGCACGGAAAATGTCTGCGTCACACGCGTGTCCGACAAGTTCATCATGCACATCGTATGCACTCAGTGCATGCAGTTATTTCCCAACGTTTAGTTGTTTCAACAATAATAACAGTCACTGTTCGTTTATGTACCATCAAGTGTGAAACAAATTGCAATGGTGATTTATTCGCATTCTCTCATACATGCTGGAAGGTAGGACAGTTATTTTGAATTTTATCGTCAGTCACTATGGTAACGATGCATGCCATTGGTTACATGTCATCAATCGCATCCTCCCCGCCCGCCTAAAAATCAACAAATCGATCGAAAACATTCCTTAGAATGTTGACAAACTACAAAGCTAGGGCTGTCACACATCAGCTTCAATTTGGCTTCCTTGTACAATAATTCAATATTGACAAGATTTCCCTTAGCCCCTAGAAAGTCCAATTTTCTGCCTAAAAATTACAAACCAACAGACAGAAATAAAGTCTCCATGACACCCTAGTGCCCCACCTAACTTGACTTCAGACAGGTCCGTCTACACTTAGATTTAAGTCATGAAGATCCGAGGGGCACTTAATGAAAATGTTTCATGAATACTGCTTAAATATTAAAGGGAAAATACAACATTTGCAAACATCGAAGAATAAAACTACCAAGTTTTTTCTAAATACCTTACTAGGATGTTGGTAAATGGCAGTCTAAAGCATCCTGTAAAATTATCGCACCTTGTGTCAAGTCATTTTCAAGAAAATGGTATTTTTGTATACATTTCCAACAGTGGTCGGCCGACCACCGTTGGAAAAACCTAACTATTTTTATGCCCCGCGGCGAAGCCGAAGGGGCATACTGTTTCCGCCTCGTCCTTCCGTGGGTGGGTGTGTGTGTGGGTGGGTGGGTGGGTGGGTGGGTGGGTGTGTCCGGACAAATCTTGTCAGCGCGATAACTTGAGAAATACTTAACATATGAACTTCAAATTTGGTTTGTGGATTGTTCTTGGTAATCCTAAGAAGCCTTTTGCATTTGGGGCCAAAAGGCCAAAGGTCAAGTTCACAGTGGCTAAAACAATAGAAATCTTGTCAGCGTGATAACTTGAGAAATACTTATCATATGAACTTCAAATTTGGTTTGTGGATTGTTCTTGGTAATCCTAAGAAGCCTTTTGCATTTGGGGCCAAAAGGCCAAAGGTCAAGTTCACAGTGGCTAAAACAATAGAAATCTTGTCAGCGCGATAACTTGAGAAATAATTAACATATGAACTTCAAATTTGGTTTTTGGATTGTTCTTGGTAATCCTAAGAAGCCTTTTGCATTTGGGGCCAAAAGGCCAAAGGTCAAGTTCACAGTGGCTAAAACAAAAGAAATCTTGTCAGCGCAATAACTTGAGAAATGCTTTACATGTGAACTTCAAATTTGGTTTGTGGATTGTTTTTGGCAATCCTAAGAAGCCTTTTGCATTTGGGGCCAAAAGGCCTAAGGTCAAGTTCACAGTGGCTAAAACAATAGAAATCTTGTCAGCGCGATAACTTGAGAAATAATTAACATATGAACTTCAAATTTGGTTTGTGGATTGTTCTTGGTAATCCTAAGAAGCCTTTTGCATTTGGGGCCAAAAGGCCAAAGGTCAAGTTCACAGTGGCTAAAACAAAAGAAATCTTGTCAGCGCAATAACTTGAGAAATACTTTACATGTGAACTTCACATTTGGTTTGTGGATTGTTCTTGGCAATCCTAAGAAGCCTATTGCATTTGGGGCCAAAAGGTCAAGGGTCAAGTTCACAGTGGCTAAAACAATAGAAATCTTGTCAGCGCGATAACTTGAGAAATTCTTTACATGTGAACTTCAAATTTGGTTTGTGGATTGTTCTTGGTAATCCTAAGAAGCCTATTGAATTTGGGGCCAAAAGGTCAAGGGTCAAGTTCACAGTGGCTAAAACAATAGAAATCATGTATTTATTCTGAGATTATAGGGATTAGGGACTAATTCATATAAAACCTACAGAAGACACTAATGCTGTCAATGAATGTTCCATGTGACCAAGGTACATGTAAGTTGATGTTAAAAGAGTGGTGTTATGTCATGGGAACTGTCACCGTTGCGGGGCATTTGTGTTTGTAAACACACCTGACTTGTTTAACTACTGCTCCTAATTTACAATTTTTTTTCAGTCCAAATGTTGTTTGCTATTGGTCACATATTTATGAACGGGTGCAGGCCAGCTAGACTGGTTCCTTTACCTTACAATTTTCCGACATCTATAAATTGATCCATTTTATCTTTAGTGGAGTCAGGGAACCAGACTACTTAAACATTTTTGTTTTTCTTGATTTTTCCAGCATTTTCGAACACAAAACTTCAAACATGTCAGTTAAACAATATTTGATCTATTATACTAACCCCTCAAATAGTTAATTTCTGAAAATTACAGCAAAAGCCAATGATGTACATTCCCTTTAAGACTCTTAAAATCGCATACTTATAAAGTGGGGTGCAATACTTTTTGTGACTTAATTCGTTTTGTGAATACGGCCCCAGTGCACTGACTGATTCTATTCTGAATGTGCACAAACTGTGGAATGAGTCGCATGTGTCGACTTTATTAGTTACCCAACGAGCGTGAGTAGATCATGGAATAATGTAGTGCATCCGTGTCCCATATTCCACGAGGCCGAAGGGCCGATGGGACTCAGATGCATGACATTTTCCATGTTCCACGAGCAAAAGTGGAATAACGAGTTTATCTTCCAGTGAACTTGACGCACAGTAAAGATGGATACGCATACATGTACTGTACACAAACTTTTCATCTGTAATCCTATAGTGTGCTTGCAGCAGGAATAACGCGTTCATTTTAAAAGATAGTTGGGGTGGAATTTACCTATCGCGTCAGAATCGCGTCAGAATCGCGTCAGAATCGCGTCAGAATCGCGTCAGAATCGCGTCAGAATCGCGTCAACGCAGCTTGTGAAATATTGTGCAATTACATGATATACAAATGGACGCGGAACGCGCAAAATCTTAGACAAACAAAACTTAGTGTACAGAAACTCAAAAGGGTTGTCTAAGGAGATGGCTAACTCGCAAACGGCGATAGGTAAATATTGACCATGGTATCACATAATATCACACTGTTGTTGCCGTGGATCGTCCAATCAGGATCGAGGATTCAATCTTGCTTGAAGATAATGTAATACATATACATGTAGAATAACAGAATCACATTTTTTTACTGTTTCCACCACAGATTGGTTTCACCACTGACCCCCGTTACGCCCGCTCCTCTCCGTACTGCACAGACGTGGCCCGCGTGGTCAACGCGCCCATCTTCCACGTGAATGCTGATGACCCTGAGGCAGTCATGTACGTGTGCCAGGTGGCCTCGCAGTGGAGATGCATTTACGGCAAGGATGTTGTTATTGACCTGGTAAATACATGTAAATTCCATCTCATGAAAAGTTTAGTTGCTGGGATTACTGTATTTTGTGCGAGCGGGTAGACAAAATTTTACTGTAACTTTGTAGTCTCTTTGGTAGGCCATGTTTTCTTCTTCTACCGGCAAGATGACTGTAAGTAAAAATGATGCATAATTATTATTTTCTTTATCAAAATTTTTTTTTTTTTTTTTTTGAATTTCAAAGTCTCTAAATTTTGAATATTTCATTTTTGGGAGCAGAAATTTATTGTCCTGATTCAGGGGCCACCTTTATTGCTGGCCAGTTTTAAACACCGGTGTTGAAATAGCGGGTCTACATCACTCTACTTACCTGTAGAGCGAATACTACATATGCATTGTTCCCTATGCCGGCAGGCAATTTGCTAAGAGTTTTACACAATAGCGCCCTCACATGTCCTACCCACGACGCCCTGTGACATGCGCACTACGTTAGCGTCCTTTTTTTTTCTCTTAGCCAGGCGAGGTATATCGTGAAATTTCGATCGACCCGAATTTCACTGTTTTATTTATGCCTCTTTGCTGGGAGAAAGCTATTTATCAGATATAAAGAGAAAGTGTTTATTGTAGAGTTATCATAGTGAGTTATTCTAAGTGAAGTGAGTTAGAAAAATGAGTAAATCTAGGAAGTTGGGGAGGACTGGGTGTGTCGATAATGGAGGGACGTACATCCCACCAGACAAGCCCGAGTTCTCGGGGGACTGCACCGGTGATGGTACGTCACCGCGGCAGCAGTCCCCTAGTCGGCCCCTTCAGCCACTGCCGGCTGTCAGAGCTGACGGACCCATTGACCAAGCGGGGGGCCGTACAACCCCACCGTCTTCGGTCAATATTCACGGGTCCGCCCAACTGAAGGGGAAACGCACCGGCAAGACAAAGAAATTGTCTGACGCCGGGGCAGTACCCAAAAAGGATGTACGGCAAAGGTGGCCCCGCTACGGGGCGCACCGTGCCTGTCCCTGGCTCGTCTACGGGACACACGCAGCCGGAGGAAGTACTCCTCCATGGCTCAGTGCACCCAGGCCCACCCAGCCCCGTGATTACCACGATGCCTGGGGATGGGCTGTTATATGGCCGGCTAATCGACCGTACAGCACCCGCCTATGTTACCGGCGTGGGGGCGCTGTCGGCCGCCCGGGCTATTGATCGCGTAGAGCCGAATCCCTGGGATTCCCCCGGAGCGTTAACGGGAGCGTTAACGCTACGCTCGGAGGGCCATGCCTCTACATCGGATTTTATTCGTTGTTTGGGCATCCCCGTGTCCCCGCAATTCTCGGCAACTACTCGCAGTCATTCTTCAAAAAAGAAAAAATCGAAAAAGAACCGCCGTTCCCACCGTTCTTTGACGAGTTCTAGCGTGTCATCCGGTCGATCACACCGTGGGAAATGCCACAAGGGTGGCGACCCGATTTCACGCGATGATTTTCGGAGGCTTTTCACTCCCTCGCGGCCTCATTGTCAGGCCGGCAGGGAGACTACGGTCACAGCTGGATGACCTCGGGCCAAAGGGACATACCGCATACGGTTAGCCGAGCGCCAGAGTCCCTGCCAGAATTACAGCCCCCACCCGCCAGTCATCACGGCTGTGGTGGGGTGACTACAGACCAGCGGACAATGCCGTGCACGGAGAGCCGTGCACCGGCGTCCCTGCCTGGTATTAGTTTACACCCATCGGTGTCACTAGAGTCTGAGCAGGGCCCGATACCGGGACACTGTGACGACGCTGCTTCGCCCCCGGGGCCTGGTTCCCATTCCCCGGTGACAACTCGCCCCCCGTACTCTGACAATTCGGCGGACGAGAGCGAGCTGACCCGCACCATGCAACGTCTATCGGTGGCCGAGACCGAACTCCGCTTGGTTCAACGGGATATGATCAGGGTTCTGAATCTCCCTGCTGGTACCGAACCTCCTCCTCCTCCTGAGCGTCAGTCGTTCAAGAAGAGATCGGGGCCGACGGCAGAACCGGTCCGGGCTTTTCCCACAATGCCTCTGGACATCACATCGACGGGATAATGCACGCAAAGACATGGAGTGCCTATGCTAAGCGCGTAGACTCGTATTATTGTTTTCCCCCAGGGGATTTTGAGAAATATTTCTCAACTCCAGTCCTGCCGGACTCGGCCATTGACAAACTCGCCGCTGACCAAGGGACGGCTTCATCCAAGGTTCCTTTTACGGACAAGACCCGTGGAAAGCTGGAGGATGTCACCCGTAAAATGGACTCGGCGGCACGCATGGGTATGAGTGCGACGTCCTTTCTTCTTCTCCTATCCGAGTACCTGGCCCTGGGGTATGAAGAAGATTCGGTGATACCAGCCGACATGATGGTGGCTGCTCTCCATTGCCTCGATCGCGGCCTATGCTCCACTCTCGACCAGTTTGCTAGAGTGTCGACCTTGGCAACATCGTCACGCCGCGCCAATGTGCTAGATGTGCTTTTCCTCCCTTCAACGGGAGCACGTAAGCGTCTCGATGAACTTCCGTTGTCAGGCCCGGACTTATTTTCTGGAGGTTTCAGTAAGTTTCAGGAGGCCATGGAGGCCGAGGCAAAGCGCCTCAAGGCCACGGAGAAAATAAATCTCAAGAAACCGGCCGAGCCGAAAACCGCGGACAAGACGAAGAAACAGCCATCTTTTGTCATTCCCCGGCGCCGCCCCCCGGTCAGAGCGGCCCATGGTGGATTTCGTGGGCGCGCCGATAAAACGGTCGGCCCGCGTTATTCACAACCACATACCGGACAACAACGTCCCCAGTCGGGACGCGGTTTCCGTGCGCCCACTCCCCGTTACACCGGGGCGTGGCGCAAATGACTTACACGTCTCCGGGCGGCCTCCCGCCGGGGGACCCGTGGGAGGCCGCCTTCAGGAGTACGTGGGGTCCTGGGTGCAGTTGACTTCCGATCGGTGGGTCCTCGAAACGATCAGCAGCGGTTACGCGCTCGAGTTTACGAGGATGCCCCCGTCAGACATGCTTATTCGGACAACGCCCGTACCGCCCGACACAGCAAAACACCGCTCCCTCGAGGGGGAGATCGACGCCCTCCTTCTAAAGAGAGCAGTTCATGTTGTCCCCAAGGGGGGACCCGGGCAGGTTTCATGTCGACCTTCTTCTTGGCCCCCAAGAAGGAGACCGGCGTGTGGCGTCCAATATTGAACTAAAACCCCTCAACAAGTTCATACGTCCGAAACGTTTCCGCATGGAAACGTTACGGACCATTCTCGAATTGATCATAACGCCAGCGTGGGCGGCCAGTATAGACTTGAAAGACGCATACTTTCACGTACCGATCAGGCCGGAGCACCGCAAATTCCTACGTTTCCAATACAAAAATATACTGTACCAATTTGTGGTGCTCCCGGGCTGTCCACTTCTCCGCGGGTCTTCACCCGGATCGTGAAGACGATCGGGGCGGCACTGCGGGCGACGAGGGATCATGATTTTCATGTACCTCGACGATTGGCTAGTAGTGGATGTTCTCGGGGGGAGACGGAAGCGGCGCTCCAACTAACGTGGCACCTTGCTTCCGACCTGGGATTTCTCATCAACACCGAGAAATCCCATCCAGTCCCCTCGCAGGTTCCCAGCTTTCTAGGTGCATCCCTCGATCTTCGCAGGGGGCTGGCCCGTCCATCGGAGGAGCGCCTGCTGAACCTTCGGCAGTGCGTGTCCCTCTTCCTCCCGACGGTAGTGGCTCCGGCCCGAGCCTGGCTCAGGCTGTTGGGCCTTATGGCCAGTTTGGTGGACTTAGTGGATTTTTGCAGGTTGAGGATGAGGCCAATTCAACTTCACCTGCTTTCTTTCTACAGACCCTGCTGGCACCCGATCGACCATCCGGTGCCCACTACGTCTTGGCTAGTCCCCCACCTTCGTTGGTGGCTAGTCGAGGCCAATATACATGTAACGCAGGGCCGCGTTTTCCGCCCGCCCCGCCCATCGGTACTTATCACGACCGACGCGTCAGGGTACAGCTGGGGGGCTACCCTCCACCCGCGACAGGTGGCGGGCGTATGGGGCCCCGAACATCAATCATCCCACATCAACGTCCTGGAAATGCTGGCAGTCACCAACGCCCTAAAACATTTCCAGTCGGACGTCAGAGGGCAAGCAGTCCTGGTACGATGCGACAACGCCACAGTGGTGCCATACATCAATCACCAGGGGGGCACTCGGTCAGGCCATCTGTGCGTACTAACATGGGATCTCATCCTCTGGTGCATACATCACAGGATAGCACTGTCGTCAGTCCACATCCCGGGCGAAGAGAACGTCACAGCCGATGCTCTCTCCCGATGGTGGATCACCCCGACAGAGTGGTCACTGCTCCCACAGGTGGCTCAGTCGATCTTCCGACTAATCGACCGGCCGCATGTTGACCTATTCGCGTCACGAATGAACAATCAGCTACCGATCTACTGCACGAGGGGCCCAGATCCCAACGCGTGGCAGACCGATGTGCTGTCGGTGCGGTGGGACGGCCTACTGGCCTACGCCTTCCCACCCATCTCCCTCGTTTCTCTAGTGCTGACCAAGATCGAGCAGGAGGATTGCCGAATCCTCCTCATAGCCCCGTTCTGGCCCCGCCAGCCGTGGTTTCCCTGGCTCATCCGACTCTTGGTTCACCGCCCGGTAATTCTACCGAGGAGGGCCGATCTCCTTTATCAGCCCAGATCGGGAATCAGTCACCAGGCTCCGGGGGATCTTCACCTGACGTGCTGGGTATTGTCACGCGATCCCTCTGCTCAGCAGGCCTTTCGCGACGAGCTGCAACAATTGCAGCCCTGTCCTGCAGAGCCTCAACCCGAAAGGTGTACGATAGCCGACTACGCCATTTCTTTAAATGGTGTAGACGGCAATCCATTCATCCCCCCAATACTTCTGTAGGGGAAGTGGGGGATTTCCTCCTATACCTTTTTAACAGTGGGCTCACGACGGCCACGGTCAAAAATTATCGATCGGCCATTGCCACGATCCATCAGGGATTTCCGGACGGTTCCTCCGTTTCCGGCAACCCTGCAATTAGCCAACTGATCAAGGGGATGTTTAATACTCGTCCCCCAGTACGCACATTAATCCCATCTTGGGACCTCTTCAGTGTACTATCCACACTGGCGAGGGCTCCTTTTGAACCAATGAATTGCTCAACTTTGTTACAACTCTCCATCAAAGTAGCTTTTCTATTGGCTGTCGCTACGTCCCGACGACGTAGCGAACTACACTCGTTATCGATGCAGACAGGACACATCCGGTGGGAACCGGGGGGTGTCTGCCTGATCCCTACGGCCGGTTTTCTCCCAAAGAACCAGTCGGAGACCTTTACGCCCCCGGACATCTTTGTCCCGGACATCAAGTCTTTTTCGAACGAGACAAACGACAAACTTTGGTGCCCAATCGAGCACTTAAGTGGTATGTCAACCGTACGAAGTCACTTCGTACGGGACACAACAAATTGTTCATCACAACGACCCCGCCCCATGGGCCGGCGTGACGCGATACAATCACTCGCTGGATCGTGACAGCTATCCGTTCCGTACCGGGCGGCTGGCCAGCGACCCAGGGACCCATTCGAGCGCATGAGGTCAGAGGAGTGTCCACCTCGTGGGCCTTTTTTAAGGGTGTCCCCCTAGGTGACATCGTCAAGGCAGCCTGCTGGAAGAACCCTAACACGTTCTCCGAATGCTACCTGAAGGATGTCCTCCAGGCAGATGGCAAGGCTGGAAGAGAAGTGCTACTGGCGGCCAGTCGAGCCTCACGGAAGCACTAACGGGTGAGCATATAAAAATACATGTATATATTTCTATGGGCATTAAGTTTAATGAGGTGTACCTATCATGTGTTCATCCCCATAATGGTTACACCCCCCTGGCCTTTTTGCGCACGAGCTCTTGGGTTCCACTTACGAGGTGAAGCCTAGAGCGTCTGGGGTGTTAGGTTTTTTGTTTGGTGTTGTTTGCCTTTGGCCACGCCTCATGTCCTACACCCCTGTAGACATACGGTAATTCGCGTATACCCACCGCCTTACTCGGTGCGAGTCTATGCATGTAGTATTCGCTCTACAGGTAAGTAGAGTTATGTAGACTCCCCCCCACAGTAGTGTGGTTGGGGTCTACGAGCGAATACTTACCTGTAGAGCATCCCTCCCTCCTTCCCCACTATACTCGATTCCTTGAGTGCTTACGCAAGTATCGCTTGAGAAAAAGAGGACGCTAACGTACTGCGCATGTCACGGCGTCGTGGGTAGGACACGTGAGGGCGCTATTGTGTAAAACTCTTAGCAAATTGCCTGCCGGCATAGGGAACAATGCATATGTAGTATTCGCTCTACAGGTAAGTATTCGCTCGTAGACCCCAACCACACTACTGTGGGGGGGATTTTAAACCACCCACGTGACAGGCTCTCGACCAATAGGAATAGGTAAACTGTCTCAGCTTTGAATAATTGGGCCTTTGAAACAAATAATACTTGTCTTGTTTATTTACTTATTTATTTATTAACTGGGTAGCCCATTCAGTGGAATCCACTGGTCTCCCATGGGGCCCAGTAAAGAGAAGACAATGTGAAGAAATTACAGTTTTAGATGTGGGAGGAAAACCCCAGAAGAATATTCTGAGCAAAACTCAAGTAGGGACTGAAATGCCCAGGCAGGAATCGAACCTGGGTCACAGCGGTAGAAGGCCAGGAAAGTACCGCTACGCCAACCTGATACCTGTGGTATTAATTAGACTTACATAATTTTGTTCCATCTTTTGTGTGTTTCTCAGGTGTGCTATCGACGCAACGGCCATAATGAAATGGATGAGCCTATGTTCACACAGCCAACTATGTACAAGAAGATCCGCAGCCATCAGCCGGTACTGTCCATGTACGCTGATGCCAAAATCAAAGAAGGTGTCATGACACAGCAGGAATATGAGGTATGAGGTCAATGAAGCTGCTCAATTTCACTGCAGTCTGGGCCCAATTTCAGTGCCCTGCAAACCACAAAACAGCACTAGTGTAAGACCGAAATTTTGACTGTTCCTGATCCCACTCTATCTCACAACAGGTGTTCCACATTACACCCAAGGTCTTCATGTCACTGTTTTCCAAGCAACACACCCACAGCATACCAAAACTGTGATTTCACCCTTGTACAGGGGAAAGTGACCTCATAAGGGTACTCCCCCAGACTGACCATTAGGTCAGTCTATGGTCAGTCTACCTTTACTCAGAAATGATGTCATATAAGTTATGTTTTCTTTATATGACATCATCTCCTATTTTCACCCAAAATTGCCCCTCTGAAACTGTATAAAATGTCCACATTTTCCCCACTTTCATGGAGTTCTCCTTCTTCTCCCTGGGAAACCAGAGGCATCGCCATAAGCTGATCCAGCCCTATGCTCTTGCCAGTCTTCATCTACGATTTTCTGTCTTCCGTCTCCTACTTCTGTAATTATACAAGACCAGGTTTTAATTGAGTTCTTGAGAATAAAATAGTTTCTCCACATAGCTGAGCTCATACCAAGGTGTCTTTGTATTCTTCGTAGTCATCGTTCATCCCGCTCTTAGCCACAGCTACCGTATCCTAACATATAAGTATAGTCAAACATCTCAAAGACATATAACCAAATTCTATATGTTACACTAGTAAAACCATTGGCGATTGTTTAGTATAGGGCCCTGTTCCCTTTAACCCTAACTTCCTAGGCATGCAACCTCAATCCTGCAAAACCCTCCAACTGTCTCATTGTAAAAATTGCATACAGCCTCAATCCTGCAAAATTCCTCCGTTATGTCTTGAATGTGGTCCTTGGAGGGGTGACCACTGCCTTAATCCTGCAAAGTCCTCCAGCAATTACTGTCAATACAGGTTCAGTTAAAAAAAAACCCAAAATGTCAGGACCAATATTTTTATAGAAGTTCAGCAAAATGAAAACAGTTCACAGTGTGTGAATTGTTTTCGTTTTGCTGAAAAAAAAACACTTACCTTTTTTGTGATCTGTGGACAGAACTTCAAAACAGTGTTTAAAATGTTTAAAATTCTGTGACTTAAAAAGTACATAAGTGATTTGAATGATTCTTGTACTGAAAGAAAGCTTATGAAGCAGGCTTTCTTATCCTAGATTTTGAAAGTGCTACATCCAGAACTTCACTAAAAAAATGGTCCCGACATTTCGGTTTTTGGTTTTTTTTACTCACGCTGTATGTTGAGGCAGAGCCAGTGACATCCTGGAGCAGTGCGAAGGATTTCAAGTATAATCGAGGCCTAAATACATGCATGGCTGAGCATAAACAACACAAGGTCCGGCCCAAGACCTTGACACAATGCATCCTCAGAAATCAGCCACACATTTTTGAAATATAGCCTCAATCCTGCAAAATCCTCCATTTTGCAAAGAGGATTTTGGAGGATTTGGGAAGGTAAGGGATATGGGAACAAAATCCACTTTTAGGTTATTGGACTTACTAAACCAGTTAAGGACATTACAAACCAACAGGTATGCCATAGATAGAGGGTATAGTTTTTATTTTGTAGGGAATTTTTGGGGTAAAGAAACAATGAAGACGACAAAACGCAACATGAAAATAAAGATGGGGATCACCACGCACACAGTGAACACGAAAAACTGCACCTATTCACATAAAACGTGTAACAAAATCGCATTTTCTACCGTAAGAAACTATTCAAAGTATTACAAAAAATGATGTCATTAGAATTAAAGTCTGCTGTAGGAGGCAAGTTTTACTATACCACAAGTTAAATCAGTTAATAATTGTTTTATAACACCTCCACAGATTCTGCTTGTTTTTAAGAGATAATTGATTAATTTAATATTAATACAATTAAAATGTATTTCTATTTCAATACAAATAAAGTGAACATTTACTTGAACTTTTCCAAACCACCCCTTCACAAAATGCTCTTTAGATATCAATAAGGGAATAAATGTGTGCTTGGCCGGTTTTAAACCCTCTGTTTAAGTCAGGTTGGAGTCTGGATGGGTGATAATTACCTGAGCCGAAGGCGAGGGTAATTATCAGCATCCAGACTCCAACCAGTCTTAAACATAAGTGTTTAATTATATCTGCCAAGCACATATTTCATGTGTATTTATTCTCATACATAAATACCTTTTCTGTCAAAAAATCAAAACTTTTTAGTCAAAAGTCAAAACAATGCAAACATTTTTTTCTACAATTTTACTTCATGTTTTTCGAAACACTATATGTCCATGCGGTACTCAACTCCTTGTATGGAGATTGGCATGCCCGTCGCGCAAACTGCGGGATGTGACGCAGAACGCAACTTACCGGTGTAGTGTGAATTTAGGACTAAATTAAATACTGACTCACTGGTAGTATTGCACAAGCCTACGTGAGCAAATTTCACGTGACTCTGGAAAAGTACTTAAGACCAGCCAGCCAGTCCGTATGAACCGTTTAAAACCACGCACGTGACGGGCTCTCGACCAGTAGGAATGGGTAAACTGTCTTAGGTATTTATAAATGTGTGTTTAATGTAAATGTATTCGGAATTTTGCTGCTGGCAGCGAAGAGTACAATTAAATAAATCTTTCATAATAATAATATTTATTAGATTTTGCCCTTCACCGACGTACAAACACTGTGTGTTACCTCCCAAGTGCGGTACCCACTGCTACATGTACATCAGATTCGCACCAGCCAACCGATCCCGCAAGCCTGGTGGTCGAGTGGTAAGACGTCTGCACTAGAAAGCAGGAGGTCGTGGGTTCGAGTCCCACGTGGGTGATTTTTTTCCTCTTTCACTCGGGAGGTAACACGCTGAGTATACAGTGATTATACGTTGGTGAAGGGCAAAACCTAATATTGATTTACATCACCCCAATGCAAATCTTATGAATAATAATAGAGCGAGTGCTTGGGAACAATACGCACAACGCGCACACCCATATGCATTTGCGCACAATGCCGGTCGCTGTTCGTAGAGTACTTTGGTTTCTATGCGTACGTGTATAGTACTCTGGTTGCTGTGCGTATCATCTTTTAGGCCATGCACAGCAAGAAAGCAAAAATAGCGAATACCATGTGACTTACTCTCGGCCAATCAAGTATAGAATCTGTGGGTGAAGTGTTAAAAAAGCCACTAGTTTTATTCACTTTTCTAGTATAACAATGTTTTGGATTATGCTGTTGTCTTTGCAGGAAGAACTTGTAGTTTATGACAAGGTTTGTGAGGATGCGTATCAGAACGCAAAGACCATCGCACAAGTCAAGAACTCGGATTGGCTGGATTCACCTTGGACTGGTATGTGTACTTATTACTCCTCGTGCATCTTTTATGAGCCTAACGCCCCCTGTCATCGGTTGATGCTCTAATGTGTCAGAGAAACAAATGAACCACGCAGGTGTGCACAAGGGGGAGTATGGCTGAGTGGTTAGGGTTTGTGACTCATGATCAGAGGGTCAGGGGTTTGAATCCGGCTGCTAGACATATGTTCTGTCCTTGGGCAAGCCACTTTACCCCCACTTGCCTCTCTCCACCCAGGAGTGTAAATGGGTACCGGCATTAGCTGGGGAGTAACCTGCGATGGACTAGCATCCCATCCAGGGGGAGTAGAAATATTGTCGTTTCATGCTACTGTAACCAGAGATAAATGCTGTAACTCTTATGGATCGTACAGGAATGTGCATGAATATGCAGAGTTTTTTTGTTTTGAAAAAAGTTGTTCAAAGGTGACTTATAAATGTGATTACTTGTTCGTAGGATTTTTCAACTATAACGTGCCGCTTCGCTACCCGTCCACTGGGATCAGTGAGGACATTCTGAGGGATATCGGAGAGAAATTCAGCACTGTCCCTGAGGATTACAGTCTGCATGGAGGTACAAATAAAAGATGTCAAATTGTAGCCGTTTATTAAAGGCAGATCTTGCGAACTATGCCGCAGTACAATATTAGTTATCCCATGAGCGCGAGAGGAACATGAAATGCATGTACCGTAATTTTCGGAATATAAGCCGCGGCTTATACGTTGAATTTGCCCATGAAAATGTTAACTGCGGCTTATACACAGGGCGGCTTATACGCCGAGACTTGAAGAATAAAAAAAAGCACATTTCCATGTGTATTTAATGTACTGGTACAAGAAGAGATGTGTTGCTGAAATAATTATCAATTAAGAAAGTCATTAACAAACCGAAAGCACGTCCCACAAAAAGATACCGAGCGGTAAAAAGTACGGCTAGTGAAAGCTGTCCCTTGGACATCGACAACCGGCCGTAGGTCATGCTGCCTATGCTGCATGCGTGCTGCATGGATTCCCATGGACCACACCATTTGTGGTAATAAAGGGGTGCACTTTCTTGGGAACAATAATTACCAATATTTCCCCAGTTTAAAAAAAGGAAAAAGACAACTAATACTTTTTATGGAGTTTGAAACATATCTTTATTTGATAATCAGTTGTTCAACGTCACAATATAATTTTTTTTCTTGAACTGTATTCAAGAAATGATGTAAAACTCAAAACAGGGGTGAAACCACCCCTACGAAATTAATGGATTCGTCCATAAAAATCTCGGCATCGTGTTGACTGTCGTGTTTTCGAAGAAAGTTACGATCGAAACTTGAAGTTTTGACGTTACTACTCGTTAGTAATCACAACAATTTGATAAGTTTTGCTGTAAAAACGGACTTGTGTATCCTTTAGGACAAAACAACTCAGCGTCTGTTGCCACAAAGCAGGATTTGTAGCGCTCCACAACATGCGCTCCACACATGGTGGGTTGCATACTCTCTCAAGTGCTGGGGGAAAATAATGTCGGTCGCCGGCACAGGCTCACTGACGAGCCAGCCGGCAGCAATTCCCGTTTTTTATTTCTCATCATCAATTTCCATATTTGTTTGTAAGAGTAATCGACTGTAAATGAATTGACATAACATTTGTGGCCTTTTTATAGCTTTCGTAGTGCAAATGGAACTGGTTCAGAGCATTTTGATTAGAATTTGGAGGCCTTACAAAATTGAACCGTTGCGGGTGCGGCTTATACGCCGATGCGGCTTATACGCCGACTTCAAATCTTAATTTGCAGATTTTTGCGTGCTGCGGCTTATACGTCGCGCGGCTTATATTCCGAAAATTACGGTACTGCATCTGTGTCCCACGTGCAACGAGGCCGAAGGCCGAGCGATATGTGGGACTCAGACGCACCACATTTTTCGTATTCCACGAGCGCGAGTGGGATAATGAATTTATCTTCAAGTAAAGTTGGAATGAGTTCGCTTATTTTAGCGGTTATTTGCACATGAAGTTGGAATGGAGCTCGCATCTTGGAATAGCATGATACGCAGAGTGCGATATGGACCGTGCTACACGGGATCAGGTAGCACGGTTTGTTGCTCTGGATTGACCAATCAGGATGGAGGATTCTAGTTTACTTGAAGATAATATGGAAATGTATTCCCTGTAATTTAATGGTTATGCAACATTTGCTTTTGCTGTAATTTTCAGAAATGGATGGATTTGGGGGTTAGTATTTATAGCAAATACTGTTGCACTGACCTGTTTAAAGTTTTGTGTTCATAGATGCTGGAAAAACCGAGAATAAAGATGTTGTTCTTGTAGTCTGGTTCCCTGACCCTAAACGGAGCAATTTATTAACGTCGGGGGATTGTCGGGTCGGGGAACCAGACTAACAGTTAGGCTTGTATCCCTTCAACGATGTGTAACCAATTGCAAACAAAATGTGGGCTAACTAAATTTGGTGAAGCAGGGCCAGTATTTGCAAAGGGCTTTGAGATTGTTGATACGACGGAAAGCACTATATAAGCATTACAATTAAATTACTTTTTTTATGATACAAAATCCGTGAAAATGACAGCAAACCTGGTGCCATGATTTCACCGGATGCTTGAGACTAATATTCACCGTCATGTAAGGTATTTCATACTAATTTGAAGGTATTGTTTTTGATGTTTGCAAATGTTGTATATTACCTTTAAAGGGCCTTTGAATTATTTTTTTTAATGCAGTCCTTGAAAATGCACCTTTGTGTCCCTTTAACCTTATTTTCAATTTTCATTTTGCCATTTTCAAGGGTATTTTGGTGCCTTTTTGGTTATTATGCTAATGCGAATTTCCATATTCATTTGCAAAATTGTGACATCATATCAGGCAGAAACCTCAATGTTGCAATCATGCACAAAAAGTTATCAAAATTTTACATATTTTGCTGTCGTAAACTTTCTTTTCATTAGTGATTTGTCGTTGTGTCAGTTCATGGCAGTAAGCCAATGAGTAAACTTTTCTCACAAATATTTTCAATGAGCATTTTTTGGCATTAATGTGAACAGTGTCTCCCTGAAATGACATCACGACAACAGCGCCCTCAGTTGTCCGGAAAAGCATGACAATGTTTAAATGTTTAAAGAAGTGCACCTTTCAACATAATTAACCAAAAATGAATGTCAATTAGTTTTCATGCACTTAAAGGGAATATACATCATTTGCTTTTGCTGTAATTTTCAGAAATGGATGGAATTGGGGGGTTGGAAATATATAGCAAATATAGTTTCACTGACTTTTTTGAGGTTTTGGGTTCGAAAATGCTATAAAAACCAAGAAAAACAATCATTTTCCAGTAGTCTGGTTCCCTGAGTCTGGTTCCGGCCTGACTCCATATGAGAAGAAACAGAGCAGTTTACATACATTGGGGAATTGTAAGGTCAAGGAACCAGTCTATAGCTGGCTTGTACCCGTTCATAGGTGTGTAATCGATTGCAAACAAGTGCGATGGTCAATTGGGGCCAGTATTTGAAAAAAAGCCAGTTTTTTCTAACGCTGGTTGGCGACCAGCGTTGGAAATTGATACAAAAAATACAACTTTTCTTGAAAATGACAGTATACCAGGTGCCATGATTTTACAGGATGCTTTACACTGTCATTCACTAACTGTCCAGTAAGGTATTTCAAAATGATTTGGTAGTTTTATTTTTTGATGTTTGCAAATGTTGTATTTTCCCTTTAAGAGGATTAGAAAGTAGCACAAAATATGTTCCTTGGAAATATTCGCTTCATGAGCCCTTTAAACAGACTGTACTATTGTATACAGACTGTACTATTGTATATCTACTCGGTCAAACTGTCAAGGGGCTTGGTTCTTTAACTTTGACTCGTAGGACTGAAGCGGGTACTGCGTAGCCGCCTGGACATGGTGAACAATCGCTCCATTGACTGGGCCCTGGGAGAGGCTTTGGCCTTTGGCTCCTTGCTGAAGGAAGGCATCCATATCAGACTGAGTGGGCAAGATGTCGAGAGAGGAACATTCAGGTATTCAACAAGGATTCCATTCGATTAATTGTTTCGGTTATTCAGGTATCCCCAAAGGCAACTTCACGTATCAAACAAGCATTCTGAAAAGCTATTCATTTCAGATCAAAAGATTTTCCTGTCCTTGTCACATCTGATGATTTTATAATTCAAGCCTCACAGCAAAACCTTAGAAAAATCTACAAAACCTGTACAAACCTACATATTTATTTATTTTTTTTTTTTAAGTAACTACCAGTATGTAACCTGTGAAGTCTATTTTTTTTCACACCGAGTCTCGAGCACGTGCACACCACCGCTCTTTTCAGGGCGACATTAGGTTTGTGCGCATGTCCGTGCTTTAGCTCATACAAAACGCCCTCTTGGGACCGAATGTATCCAGTCTCGTTTTGCGTAAAAACAGCTCAACGGAGGACGTCTTTTCAATCACCTTTTTATATTACAAATAGGTTTTTGACATTAGAGATATGACAATAAATCAACAGAAAAAGGGCTATAATTTTTTATCAGATAGGACTGTAAACTTTTTGACAAGGCACTTGATGAAAAAACGACTCCGAACAATTACCTGTGCTTGCGACGTTTATAAATGTCTCAATCGGAACGAAAATAATGGTCACGTTTCGTGGGATTTTTTTGTCATCCTGGGAAGTTCGTTCCGATTCAAGTAAATTACCATTAGAAAGACTAAATAAAGGAGAATACCAATGTGGAAGACTTTTGAGAGCAAACCTTGTTGGAGCCACGTACGTAGCTATTAAATGCTTACACTAAGTGTAAACAAACGGCGCCATGTGTGCACAAATCCATATAGCATGCAGGCGCGGCACTACGTGTATATCCCCGTCCCTGTGAGATGTATACACGCGGGGCACGGGCCAATCACGCGTCGGCATGGTTGTTTGAATTGCAAACCCCGAGATCTGTGTTATATTGTGCAGTTGAGTGGGAAAACCACACTCCTGGTTCAGTAAACCCACCAGGGAATCCCCCCATTTGCAGCAGAGTTGAGGGGTTTGCTCTTTTGAAATCGCGGTTAATACAAAATTTAAAGTCTAACTGATGTTTTCATGGCAGGCTTAATGCTAGCTGAATTTACTTGATTGCAGAAAAAAATGCTTTCTTTTTGACCCTTTTTACCGCTTGTTGCTGGCTTTCGTTCAGTGAAAGAGGTCTTCGTTTTTGTGTATTTCGCGAAAATAACTACATCGCATTGAAGAGGTACATGTATTCGAAGTAGATGCTAAGGTAGTTTTTAACCTACGTGTACTTTGGGACAAATCTGTTGGCTTCAATACATATTTCGTGCATTTATGAGCAGTTTTTTTGTAAGGCCGTTCTTAGGCCAAAAAAAAAAAGTCTCCGGTTTCTGGTATGCGCGCGCATCACCGTAGCCATGCGCGTCGGCAAAATGAACAAGTTTTTTTTTCAATACAAGATGATGTCTCAAAACCGCCAAACTCGCTGGTTTGACTGGAATCCTGCTGCTGCACAATTTTAACGTGTTTTTAGATGGGGTTATGATCAACAATAAGCTTTATGTGGCCTCTCTGGACTCCCATATATTTGCACTAAGTTTAGTCGGGCACCATTTGCAGTCATCAGCCGACATTTGAAGCCAAAAAAAAAAAAAAAACAGGTTAAAAAAAACAAAAAAAGCCGCATCGCCGCACCACTTTTGGGGCAAGCTCCATACCAGAAACCGGAGACTTTTTTGGGGGGGGCCTTAGCGACTTGTTTTTTATGAACGAGCTCATGAATATTGATTTTACAGCACAGCCTGGAGAAACTGGCGCATGCGCATAAACCTCATGTCGCGCTGTGAGCCTCTGGAGCAGCGGTGACACACGACACGCAAGTGCCATATCACGTCTCTAACCAGAAATTTTGGAAAGTCGTTTATCCATGTGTAGAGATCCATGATTTCACCACCCCAAGCCCCCCAAAAATCAGGATTAATTCAGTGGATCGTTTGTTTCTCGCCTTGCCCATTGATTCATTACTTTGTGTTATTTTTGTTTGTTATCTTTCATTGTAGTCATCGCCACCACATTCTGCATGACCAGAACATTGACAAGAAATACCTGATACCTCTGAACAACCTGTATCCAGACCAAGCCCACTACACCGTCTGCAACAGCTCCCTCTCAGAATTTGCTGTCTTGGGTAAGTACACGCATTGTAAGTTATCCCACAAATGCAAGTGGTGGAACACGAAATAATGTAGTGGATCTGTGTCCTCTATGGGCTCCGTGCACAAGTACCCCATCAACCGCCAGAAAAGGAGAGTTGGGGGTGACCTGGACTGGTTCCCGATCCATCCACTGCGTATTTCGAATGTATCCAAAGTTATTGGAGGCGGGGATTAGTCTTGGAGGCTATCGCAAGTTGAATTCAAACGCATTCGCGCGCTGACGACGTCTGACGCCCATGCAAAGAGGTGTGGCTATAGCTTTTGCACGTTCAGGACGTCGTGCGTACTTCGCACGCGAACCAGTACAGTACGTGCACGCTGTGTGTCACGTCTACAGAGCTCTCAAAAGAGGTTAAAACAGGCCCTCTTTTGTTGGCGCGCGGAGCCCATTGACTCCGCGCGCAAACAAGGGAGGATGCTTTTTACTGCGTTCGAGAGCCCAGTTGATGGACACACCGAGTGTGTGTATTGGTTCGCGCGCGTACTTATCCCCACTCGCGCGGACTTATCCCCACTCCCTCATGATTTGGAAGGCACATTTGGCAACGTCCACAATGGAGTTTGATTTTCATCTTCAGGGTGTGACTTTAGCGGTAGCCCGCTAGCCTAATGCTAGTCAAAACAGCGGCGGGCTAGTCAAACTATTCCTCAAGTAGCCCGGCTGGCGAGTCAAAAATTATTGGGCTACGACAAAGATGAAAGGGCAGGAAGAAATAAATCATTAAATTCAGAAAGCAAACCTGTATCAATTTGTGTCTTATTTTATTAAGGGAATAAATGTGTGCTCCGGAGGTTTTTATCACTCGTTTAATACCGCTTAGAGTCTGGGTGCTGATAATTACCCGAGCCGGAGGCAAGGGTAATTATCAGCACCCAGACTCTAAGCGGTATTAAACAGAGTGATAAATACCGACCGAGCACATATTTATTCCCATTCATAAATACCTTATCCGTAAAAAAATATCAAATAATTTGTTCAAAAAATCCCGATTTTGTTCAACAAGTTCACTTCATGCTTTTTGAAACATCCCTCTAGCAAAATAATGGAGTGTTCAGCTGGCGAGTAAGATATAAACAACCCTTTTATGGAGATTGACGCGCGCGTAGCATGTTCTGCGCGATGTCACGCAGAACGCACCTGGGGCGTTGCATTTTGAATTTAGAACTATAAAATTCTGTCTCGCTTGTAGTGTTGCGCATGCCTACGTGAGGATTGTGAACGTTCAACCAATGAAACGGTAAGAGGCACTGGATTTTTAGGAGTCCACATTTTATTGTGACACTGGAAAAGTGTTTAAGACCAGCTAGCCATGTCTTTATCATCCGTTTAAGACCGGCCACGTGACGGGCTCTCGACCAATAGGAATAGCTAAACTGTCTGAGGTATTTATGAATAACTGTTTAAAACAGATCTGTTTATTAAAAACAATGACAAGATTGCCTCAGGATACACGTTTTACATGTATGCACATCGTCGTTTATGAGACACGCTATAAAAGAAAAAGCATGTGGGCTAGTGAAAATGCCCGCTGGCTAGTTAAGAGTCTGTTTCGATAGCTCGGCTGGCTAGTGGAAAAAAAGTTAAGGTTGAACCCTGGGAGACTCTTTCACTCTTGGCTCATAGGTTTCAGCTAGGCTTTTTTAATTCCTTTTTGTCGTGCACTCACAGCTCACAGGTCTGAGCTTGGTTTTTCCATGACCAACCCTTACTCCCCCGTGATCTTGGAGGCACAATTCAAAGGCATTGATTTTCATATCGTTTTTCACTCTTCACTCACAGGTTTTGAGCTGGGCTTTTCAGTGACCAACCCCCACTCCCTCCTAATCTGGGAAGAACAGTTCAATTGCATTGATTTTCGTATCGTTTTTCACTCTTTGCTCACAGGTTTTGAGCTGGGCTTTTCCATGACCAACCCCCACTCCCTCGTGATCTGGGAGGCACAGTTTGGGGACTTCCACAACACGGCGCAGTGCATCATCGACCAGTTCATATCCAGTGGCCAGGCCAAGTGGTGTCGGCAGAGTGGTATTGTTATGCTGCTGCCTCATGGATACGAGGGCATGGTAGGATACAAAAGCCCTTCCCCAACCCTCCCATTCACTCCCCCCCCCCCTCCCCCCCCAACCCTTCATCACTTTTAATTGTTATCTCCCTGGCTTTCAATCCAGACGGGGATATTGTGATCGCATATATTCCTTCTGTGTGTCCGTGTGTGTGTTCTCCAGTTCACTGTAAGTTCAGTCATCAATCTCAACCAAACTTGAAAGGTGGTCTGTGAAGAGAAGGCCCATGTCAAAAAAATCCTTTCCTATATGGATATTTACGAGGTCTCTGGAGAGATACTAATGACTCCTTACTAATTGTCCTTACCATAAACTACCTGTACATGTATACCAGCTGGCAGGATGCCGGGGGATCGCGCGAGTGTTACTTGCAGCATTTTTGCTGGTCGCAGAGGGCCAGCATACTGTCCTCTTCGCACCTATCTCACCAGCCTCGAATCCATGGGCGCGTGTGCATTCCTTCATTGAGCCCTGGCCATGTAGAATACGTAAACAACACTGACTGGCTATTGAGAGCATACTGCTTGCGTATTTTGAAGACTGCACGCCCTATATGCACTGGTGCATTATCTCCTGCTCGTCACGTCACGTACGAACATTTTTTTCAAGACTGCGCGTAGCCTGTACGATATGGAATCTGGAAGCCTTGTTTTTTCGCCAAAAAAACCTGTATTTAGTGTTGTTAAGGGAAGACGGAGGTACACACATTTAATTGACCTATCGCTGTTTGCGAATTAGCCACTCCCCTTAGACAACCCTATGGAACTTTTGTGCGCTGAGTTTTGTTTGTCTCAGATTTTGCGCGTTCCGAGTTCATTTGTACAAGTAATTGGACAAATCTTTGCTCCATATGGCGACGTCGAAATCTCATCTTTGAAAGGATTGATTCTACAAAAAAACAAACTTCAAAATGGAAAGCACTGCATCGGCATTAAACGCATTGTCTACAGTCCTAATTTAAATGTGCCAAATGGTGGGATATTTATTATTACACAATTCCAGGGGTTCATATTGCGCAAGGCTTGGTTGGGAACCAACATGGCGCAACATGATCGTACCCATGGGGAACGAGGTTGCTATCCCACTGACTGACTGACTCAGTGACTCGCTGTCACGTGTGAATTGGGCGTATGAATAAAGCCTCACCTTGGCCCAGTAATGTGACTCAAATGACAAATGGGAGACTTTTGAGACGTTGTTTTTCAGTTGTTTACGTCATGTTTCAGCCAAAGCGTGCATGCTCAATATGACACAAACAATGGAAAAAGACCTGTATGTTTCCTGCCACCAACGTCTCAAAAGTCTTCCATTGGTCTGGGACCAGGGGCCGATTTCACAAAATGCTAAGGCGCGCCTTGGAAAGGGTAACGCGTCTTAAGTAGCGACTCGTCCTAGGATCGATTTCAGCAAACTTAAGATGTGTTCAACATGTCCTAACCTCCTTATCTCGTCTTAACTTGAGCTTGGTCTGAGGGTCGTCTGATCTCATTTACCCTAACCCTCAAACAGTTCATTTGGGGTAAAGTACCACATACTACAAAGTACCACAAAAATTGCATGTGCAGCTACCAAATACTAGAAAATACTATGAGTGCTGTACCCACTTACATGTATATGCTGAAGTACTGCATACTACAGTTTACTACTAGTTGTATTTTGTACAATTTTTGCATGCGTTAATTTTTGTATATCATCTGGAAATCATTGCCGTTAAAGACAAGAGTCTGCCTAGAGTTATAGTTTCGAGGAAGAAAACCGCTGTAGAAACAGATTTGAAAAGTTTTAATAAAAATAGCTCATTTACCAATTTTAATTATACGCCAACACCTAGTCGACTTTCAAAAATAGAGTGATGAAACAGGGAGCAAGAATGACTGTATTGTATCTTGTGTAGAACCACCTTCACCTTGCATGTGGAATTTATTGAGTAGAGTCATTTTCCTGACGAAAGTTCGTGTTCCAAGCACGCGCGGGGAAGTTGGTTTTGCGCGTTTCTTTTCAACGACAGTTTCGTCAAGCGGTAAAAACAAACATGAAACAGCCATCAAATTGGAAGTTTTGATACGTCTTGCTTAAGATCGATTTAGTGAATTTGGTCTTAGGATGCGTCTTAGCCAATATCGATCTTAGAGCGGGACCTTGTCTTGATTCCTATTAAAGATGAATCGCAAGATAAGACGAGTTTCGTGAAATCGGCCGCAGCTTTGCTAGGCGCGTACACTCTTGTTTTACTATACTCTTGAGGACAATGCTTTGTGTTTCCCTTTGTCCCTGTAATATAACAATCTCCCATAGACTAAGCACACAACCGTACAATCGAGGACCGTTTTGAACAAAAGACCCAACGCCCGAGGACTGAAAGGATCTGTTGTTCTCCCTTTGTGTGTCAGTCCTCGGGGTTATGTAGAACACGTATGCCTATTATTGTTTTCTGACTCTCGAGTGTGCGGTATGCCAAATTTCAGTGTTGTATTCGAGATCAATCACAAGTCATACAGGCCCAACTCATCTAATGAGCTATTCAAATGTCTCACATATTTTTCCCTTTCTCCGCACAGGGACCAGAGCATTCGAGTGCCCGCATTGAACGCTTCCTGCAGATGAGCAACGACGACTCTGATGTCGTACCCGTGAGAAAGCATATCCCCCGAAAAAACAACAACAATTTTTTATAATCAAATTTCCTTTCTGACCCATTTGGGTTCAAAATCCTGACAGTGACATGACTGTAACTTGTAAAAAGAAGGAAATATTTAAAGTAAAATGTGACTTTATTCCTTCTCTGCAAAATGTAGACAAGTTTGCAATCTGATAAGCCAGTTTCAAATCGTACATGTATGTGACCTGTTTTGTCAAATTCCAGAGCTTCTGTGCTGAGTGAGAAATTAAGATATAACCAAAAGAAAGAAAAAAAACGATAAGGGGGTGATTTTTTTTCTATTCATTGTTTAGGAAATGTTTATTCCTAAATATGCTTAAAATATGGTACAGTTACAGTTTTGGAATGTAATTTTGTCTCTGAAGGTCTTTGGATGATTAGTCGAGACACACTTGTTCAAAAAATTATCTCTTGGCTATCGGTACGAAAAACTCACTGAAACCACCTGTGCTAATGGTGCTAATAGTATAATTTTGCCAAGGATTGTCAATTTTCAAATTGTATGAAGGGAAGGATCTGTATTAAAAAAAAAAAATTAAAACTATTTTTGCCCAGCTGCAGAGAAGAGTCTTTTTTTTTGATGGAACACATGACATAAAATCCACGACTGTTGAACATTTTGAACAAAATCCTCTATCTCATATGGGTCATTCTATCATTTTGGGGTCCACTTTTTCCCCCTGTCCTGGTTACATCTGACATCTATGATTTAGTAATTTTGATGCATTCCTTAATGCAGTCGACCGCCAAGAGTGATTACGAACAGCAAACTACAGGGCGAATAAAAGAAAAGTGGAACCCAACCCCCAGAAATATATTCCATATTTAAAAAAATATGTAGCACCAAACAAAATAATGACTGGAAAGCCAATTTCATAAGCTACTTATAGATGCAAAACATTACTGAAATTGCTCAACCCCTTCAAATAATGTCACCATTAAAATACAATGGCCCTAAAATCTGTTTCGTCCAAAAACAGCAATTTATTGTGTATTCTGACTGTTTGGAACAACAAAGAAAATGACACAGAATATTTGTTTCAAGGACTGTCAAATACTGCAGTACACAATATCTTTATTAACAACCCTACTTAGGCAAACAATATGATTTATAAAATCCACTTTTTTTAAAAGACGGGCCTTCGAAAGGACTTGGTTAACTTTTAAACTGAGGTTTTAACGGTGATGTTTGAAGACCATTGTGACGATGATTCTTGAAATCACTTTTTTAGACGAAAGAGGTTCTAGGGTCATTGTGTTTAAAGTGGTGATATTCTTTGAACGGATTGAGTAATTTCAGTATTCTAAAAGTAGCTTATGAAATTGGCTTTCCAGTCATTATATTGGTGCTACATATTTTTTTAAATATGAAATATAATTTTGGGGGTTTGGATTCCGCTTTTTTTTACTCACCCTGTACCTACCCAACAAACAAAACATTGTTTGAAGTTATTCTTAATAATTGAATGACAAAGTACCGAGGTAACAGGCACAGGAAACATGTCTCACTTTGGACCCTTGTTATGCAAGACCTAGATAACACTTCACCTACATTGCCAAGAACTGTACTCGACATTTCATGTAGATACATCTCATCCAGTTTATAATAGCCCAGTTGCATTTGACTGTAATGGTGATTTGTCATGCACGTAGGCTCTGAATGAGGACTTTGTGGTGAACCAGCTGTACGACTGCAATTGGCAGATTGCCAACTGCACCACGCCCGCCAACATGTTCCACATTCTGCGCAGGCAGATCATGTTGCCGTTTAGGAAACCGGTGAGTTGGCATATTGGCTTCGCGCATGAACAGCAGGTGGCGCTTCGCGACAACTCCTGTGTATTTTTTTTTGCAGACACACTGAATTTCATTTGTTAGCCTGGCAGTGCTATGGTATAGATGAATCTTAGCATGTTATCAATGTGCACACACCCACTCTTGTTTTACTATACTTCTGAGGACAATGTTTTGTGTTTCCCTTTGTCCCTGTAATATAACACTCTCCCATAGACTAAGCACACAAACCTACTACAGAGGACCGTTTTGAACAAAAACCCAACTCCCGAAGACTGAAAAGATCTGTTGTTCTCCCTTTGTGTGTCTGTCCTCGGCGGTTATGTAGAACAAGTACAGGCATGTTTACTTCGCCATACGTAATGTGGACATTCCTTTGTTTTTATGTAGTTAAGAAAAACCTGTGGAAAAAAACCTCATTTTACCCACACTGTGAAAACTCTTTCAACTCATTTTTTTTCCTATGATTCCCTTTAGTGTTTCTCTTCATTTTTCCACTGATAAACCTAACCCAAAAATGCCTCTAAAACCGTTTTCTAGAGAGGTGGAAACACTTTGGGACATGGGCAAGTCCACACATCGTATTTGAAAATGAGTTTATGTGGACATCTTTTGTTCGGAAGTCCACACAGTGAATGTAATGCTTGTACATGAGGCCCCCTTCAGTGGCAAAAGCATTGGGCACGCTATTGTACAAAGCTACTGCCCCATGATGGATCATCTGAACAATAGCTAGCATTATGCTTTCGCCATTGAAGGGGGCCTTCGTGATAGAATTGACAGCGTGCTCGGGTTGGTTCATAGCATTACCCCGTAACACCAATAAATGGGCTAAATCCGGCCCATTGTGTAGACCAGATGCACGAAAACACTTCCAGTGAATAGCCATTGTGAATCAATTGAATAAGAGTTTGTGCGCTCTGCGACCAGCTGTACAAAGTTACCTTGTCTTGTTTCAAAATTTCTGTTGTGCGAAGGGGTAAAACCATGATAAAATTTACATCTTTTTGACGCAAATTCCATGTTATATAATGTTTAATTGGGGTCCCCACTGCTACATTAGACTCAAACCAGCCAGCTGACCCCGGCAAGCTCGGTGGTCGAGTGGTTAGACATCCCCACTAGTAAGCAGGAGATCGTGGGTTGGAGTCGTGGCCGAGTAAGATTGTGATTTTTTTCTAGCAAGCCCACGGACACCACTGAGTATAGAATGTTTATAAATATGACAGCGAAGCACATTCCATCTATAAATAAGGTAAGAGGCCGGACCTGTGTTAACAGGGAACGGAGTGCCCATCTCTCTCTCTTTAACGATTGGGCCAGACTCATATGCTGATGTGGGGGGGGGGGATCGCCACACCTCCTCCACAGCGAGTCTGTTACCTTCCCAGCATTGAATAATGCCGGTACCCATTTAACACCTGGGTTGAGAGGAGTAATTGAGGTACAGTGCCTTACTCAAGGGCACTATGCGCATGGCCACGGCAGGGCTCGAACCCACAACCTCATGATCATAAATCCTGTGTTCCATCGCTAGACCACATGTGCCATCTTATAAAATTGTTTCATATTTTGCTCTGCTTTTCTTGTTAGCTCATCATCTTTACACCCAAGAGCCTTCTGCGCCATCCAGACGCTAAGTCGTCCTTTGATGAAATGGTTGAAGGTTTGTTCATCACTGCTTGATGGGGAATTTAGATTGGTTCCTTTTGGGAAAGGAAGTTGTGGGGAAATGTTGCTAAAAATAGAACTAATATTTTCATGATTGGTATAAACGTAATACACAAGCTAGCCTTAGCGGTGAACAGCTGCGTAATGGTCAAAGCAGTCTGTTACTTTACAATTGCTTTACTACTGTACAGGGTGAGTAAAAAAACACGAAACCCACATGTTGGGACCATTGTTTTAGTGAAGTTCTGCTTGTCCCACTTTCAAAATCTAGGATATGAAAGCTCAATTCATAAGCTTGGTTTCAGTACAAGAATCATGCGAATCACTCGCATACTTTTCAAGTTACGGAATTTTTAAACGCAACCACCGTTCTGTCCACGGATCACAAAAACGGAAGTGTTCTTTCAGCATGCCCAAAACAAATCACATAGGGATGTGTGTGAATGTTTTTTGTTTTGCTACAAGAACGCACGCCTTTTTCGTAATCTGTGGACAGAACTTTAAAACGGTGGTTGTGTCTAAAATTGCGTAACTTAAAAAGTATATGAGCGATTTGACCGATTCTTGTACTAAAAGAAAGCTTATGAATGGGGCTTTCATATTCTAGATTTTGAAAGTGCTACATGGAGAACTTCACTAAAACAATAGCCCCGACATTTGAGTTTCAGGTTTTTTTTACTAACCCTTGTATTAGTTATCCTACAGGAATATTAATGTTATAAACAATTCTTTACTAGTACTCATGACAAAGTACTCGCTCTCATACTCGTTCTGATGGCAAAATACTCGTACTCATACTCACGGAAATGTACTGGACCACAACACTGGGCGATCTTTGAATGCCTGTTGTTTTTGTCTCAGGAACAATGTTCAAGCGCGTTATCCCGGAGGATGGCGCGGCCTCCCAGAATGCTGCCAACGTCCGCAAGCTGGTGCTGTGCTCGGGCAAGGTGTACTACGATCTGGTGAAGGAGAGGGAAAAGCATGGGCTCAATGCTGACATTGCCATCAGCAGACTGGAACAGGTAGGCAGTGTACTCGGGATGGATCGCAAGTACATCACGATTCCCGTCACAAGCGATAGAGCGTGCAAGTCTTGCTGCATGCCATGAATCCTCTTTCAACAAAACACCCAAGCTGGCTGGTTATATTCGGGTTTTTGATCAAGACTGAACCAGGGACACAAAATAAATGCGAACAAATCGACCGTTGCACACGTTGTAGATCCTATGCACTGTGCCCGGATGTACCTGACTCCCGTAAAATCTTGCAGATTTTTGAGACAAACTTGCACACACTACAACTTATATTGTCAGTAACAATATCAAAGGAATGCCCTTGTCGCAATTCATTTTGATAGCTTGTGAATGGACTTCAGACTGGATGACTTGTGTTTGACTTGTGATTGACTTGTGATTGAGTTTTGATTGACTTGTGTTTGACTTGTGATTGACTTGTGATTGACTTGTAAGTGACTTGTGATTGACTTGTGATTGAGTAGTGATTGACTTGTAATTGACTTGTGATTGACTAGTGATTGACTTGTGATTGACTTGTGATTGACTTGTGATTGACTTGTGATGGACTTGTGATTGACTTGTATTTGTGATTGACTTGTGATTGACTTGTGATTGACTTGTGATTGACTTGTAATTGACTTGTGATTGACTTGTGATTGACTTGTGATTGACTTGTGATTGACTTGTGATTGACTTGTGATTGACTTGTGATTGACTTGTAATTGACTTGTGATTGACTTGTGATTGACTTGTGATTGACTTGTGATTGACTTGTGATTGACTTGTAATTGACTTGTAATTGACTTGTGATTGACTTGTGATTGACTTGTGATTGACTTGTGATTGACTTGTGATTGACTTGTGATTGACTTGTGATTGACTTGTGATTGACTTGAAATTGACTTGAAATTGACTTATGATTGACCTGTGATTGACTTGTGATTGACTTGTGATTGACTTGTGATTGACTTATGATGGTTTTATGACACGTAGGTTGGGGACTTCCCCATCATAACCAGGCCATACAATTCAAATTTTGTGCACACATATTCCCCAAATGTTTAAAGGGCGTTAGGAACATCTGCAGTTACCCTACCAAAATGTCTACCAATTTAATGAGAAAGTCCATGCTCAAAGATAGGACTGGTACCAAATACCCTTTGAAATTATTCCGCCTGATATGGTATCATTTGGAAGAAAACAGTACCGGTAGTTGATGGTGTGCCCGCGAGCACCGTTATTTTTACGTGCGTTAGCAACAAAATCCAGTCATGAGACCCAAACAATAAGCCATTTACCCTTTGCGAGTTAAATTTAAATAACATCTGACTTGCTCACAATATGCTTGGCACATAAGTTTGAATTCTCCTGACCACATTTAAGACAATGATGCTGTATCGCATGATTCGGGGTAAGCTCTTGCATAGGTACCTAAGAGACACTCAGCATCAGTACATTGCTCACAATGGATGAGAATGACACAAAGACACCAGACCATGCCGGAGCTGGGGGCTGCTTGCATAAGGCTTGCTCCGAATCACGTGATATAGCAACTGAGTCTTTGGTCTGACGAATTCAAAGCTAAAATGTGCCAAGCATTTGAGCAAGTCAGTGAACCAGATGTTATTCATATTTAATTTTCAAATGGCTAATTGTGCATACATTTTTTTGTGTTCTCAAACTGTATAGTATCCATTGAGCTGAAACTAACAAGTTAGTTGTTATGCACCCTTAAACTTTGAGCATTTTTGTTGCTTCAAGCAAAAACAAAAAAAACAAAACAATGTTCCTATGTACCGTTTTAAGGGGAAGTGCCTCTTGTTCAAATTTCAGTTAAAATGCTGTGTTTCAACAATTAACCCCTCCTTCCATGGCATTTTTTCCCTCCAGATTTCCCCATTCCCATATGATCTGATCATCGAGGAGATGAATAAATATCCTAACGCTGAGATCCAGTGGTCCCAGGAGGAACACAAGAACATGGGAGCCTGGCACTACGTCCAGGCACGCATCCACACCGCGGGCAACTGGAAACGACGCTGCACGTGAGTAGTTCAATCCAATGGCGGCGGGGAATTGACTCAACTATTAAGTCTGGCATTAGATGGATCCAATAGGCCTCACTAGCTCTGCGTGTATCTCTCACGTGCATCTCGTGACCCTTGTGCGTGCGTGTCATGCACAAGGTCAGACATGTTGCATATCTGGTCAGACAACACCCTCCTAGTCTTGTACACTTCACAACAGTTACACCTCTATGTTCCAACACCCCTATGTTCAGACACCCCTATTTTCTGACAACCCTAAGTTCCGACTACACATAATCCTATACCTAACCCCAACCCTAACCAGGAATACACAATTTTATATGCGGGTTGTCGGAACTTAAGGGTGTCGGAACATAGAGCAGTCACCCTTCAAGACCCTTCAAATTTTGCAAAACTACACTTTGAGTTAGCAGGGATGTGATCTCCGGTTTTCCCTGGAAATCTGTTTTTTGGGGCCTCAAAAGTCAACCCACGTGAATCATGTGAATCCGTTGAGAAAATGAGGGGAGGGGGGGGGGGGGTTAGAATGTACTAATAAATTAATGCCGAAATGTACTTACTCTGTAATTTGCGATGTACATGTACATGTATGTATTGTATTCGGCCGGACGTGAGTTTACTTGTCTTTAGTACCAGACTACATGTAAGTATTTTCTTCAATGGCATTTGCACCTCATGTGTAGAGATTCATGTACATGTGCTTTTTGCATTCCCTCGCATGCAATTGTCATTGCTTGAGAACGAGGTTTAAGCAGACTGGAGACAGGATCCCAGCTTTGTGCATGAACAAAGCCACTTGGCTACGGCCTGAAATAACACACGAGTATATGGGAAGTGGCTGCAGCCATGTCAATAGGCTCGTGTGTATTGCAAGCCGTAGCGGTCCCCCCGTCAAAATAAATTTCGTTGAAATTAGCTGGAGGAATATGTGACTGTTGACGAACGTAAAATACAATTGAACCAGTGGCTTTGGTAGCCATCGATTGCGGGAAAGGTGATGTGTACTGGTATTTACTGTAATGACGACATCAATTGCAGACAAAAACCAGAGAAAGTCGATTGTACTGAGTTAAATTTCATTTGTATTGCGTATGTATTATCCTTGTTTAATGAAAATGCATGGTTCTCAACTTTGAGTACAGAAAAAACTTGATAAGAACAACAGTACATTTTAACAAATGAAGGAAAATTCTTAAAATTAAAACAACAAATTCTGCTCAAAAATTTCATAGGAAACTGCCCAGTAATCACCTCAGATTGCACCACAAAGCATCTAGAATCCAAAATTTTTCGGGGCCCTTAAGCGGGCCCAAACCCAACGCTGTAATGGCCTCGTGCTTCACGCTCGCCGGAGTTTGCACTTCATGCTTAAAATTTGCAGGGTTTTTTGTCACAGACCAATCACATCCCTGAATTAGTGATGTGCATGGGGTGAGGTTGACGAGGCCAAACAGACCTGAGACATTTTATAAACCGAATCTGAACCGAAACCGAACTGGACTACCCAACCTGACCCGACAACAATTCAAATTAAAACCAACCTGAACTGACCCGAAACCGAAGCGACCTGAAAAAACACCCCTAAATATCTGGCTTCAGCAAATGTGTCTGCTTTTTCAGCTTGACCTGACCCGCATTGCGTAAAAAAAGTTAGCTTTCAGTAACTGAATCATGCCATGCGGCACTAAACAATGTGACCAACTGGTGGGCCTACATGTTGTAGACCGATCGAGACAGACCGCAAACCATTTTCAGTCGCACCACGCGCAGTGACTCTAAATACTGCACAATGTGAATTTCCTTCCTGTTTTATTTTCTTTCGGGTTTTTCCAAAATGGCTTAACCGACCCGACCCGACCCGAAAATCGCAAACGCAAAACTGAAACCGACCCTACCCGACTAACATGATGGACAAACTGACCCGACCAGAAGTTGGTTTTGGGTCGGGTCAGTTTCGGTTTTGGGTCGGGTTTGTACATTACTTTGCACTCCTTTGGGTTAGTGTTTCCCCTGGCTAATGAAATGAGCAAGGTGGTAAAAATTTTAACTGATGATTGAAATAAAATTGACACAGTTTGCGAACTCAAAAGGATGCTGCCCTTACAAAAATGCGAGATGATTCCATTTACACATCAAAATTGTGAGTTCTTGATACATAGAGGTCAAGGAAAACGCTCATAAATTACACAAAATGAAAATTTGTCGATTAGTATTTCCTTTATTGCAAGTCTTCACAGCGAGGTGGTGATATTGGCAAAAATTAAGCGAGGTGGTCACTGAAAGTAGCGAGGTGGGCCGCCTTACATTTGAATGGGTAGGGGAAACACTGCTTTGGGGTAATCTTCTGTGGAGTATGACTTAGACTTCAAATCAAGGCACAGTATTTTTATGTGGTTAAGCCCAGGGCAAGCAGACACATTCAGTCATTCTTGACTGTTTTTTGTTTTTGGGACACCTACACGTAATTACCAGTCCTAAATGAAACTTGGATAACTTGACCACTGAACCATGGCATTCCACACTGTCATACAGCGAAACAGACATTTACATCCACACACAACGGGCATCCCACTCAAACACAATGCCCAGCAGACAACAACCTCACCCCCAGTGCTTACTTTATTTCCAACCTGGTTTCCAATAGTAAACCCTGGATAGGAAACTTTCTTCCTGTATCCGGATTGGATACCACAATTGGCTAGTAATGGATTTTTATCGTGTACTTGGTGCTATATATTCACAACGTGCAGTACGTGTTTTCGCGATCATTCGTCCACGCCTTCTCGAAAATACTAATTTCCTTTCCAATTTGCTCATATTAATATGAAAATCGTGTTTTCGTAACTCACGCCGTGCTCGCGCTGTTACGAATTGACTCTGTTTTTACCCCAGACACCGCATACAAAAACAAACGCTAATGTGTAACGCATATCCAGGCACCAGACTGTTCCTCATTTGCATACGTGTGCAAAAATCTTGCACATGCAAATGATCCAATACCAGGGTGAGAGAGCAGGTAGTGGTGGGTGCGTACTGCTCGACACCCTGGGGACGAGGTTGCTGCAGACAACTTATCAGAATCCACTAACACAAGCACCAGTCACCACTCTTCCCCTTCACACTCCTGATCCTAGCACAGCCTACTCAAGGAGCAGCATCTCCAACTCTCTTCAGTCTCCTGACGATGACTAGAGCAGGCTAGGCAAAACGTTGAGACCAAACTTATTTCACTCGGCCTCAGTGAAGATAATTGCGAGAAGTCCCACCGCCTTCCAATGTACTTAGCGAAAGTAGATAATAAGCAGGACAAGTCCTTTAAAGCAGGACACTTCTTATCAGAACTAAATCTACTGAGTGACAGTAGTTTTTTACCACATGGTGGTACTGCAGACCCAAACTATATTTGCAGTTTATTTCCAACTTCTTTCCAGTCTTCTCATTTTAGGTGACAGTTTGTTACTTTTGTCACTGCTTTTTATAATGAAAATTATTTTGGTCTTTGTTAGATATGCCGGTCGGGCAGCCTCTGCAGCTACAGCAACTGGCAACAAGTACACTCACGTCAGTGAACTGGATAATCTACTCGGTGAGGCTATGAAGCTGGAGTAAACCAGTTCCATCCAGTTTGCTCATCGTCAGCCCCGGAGGAATCTCATTGTAATTGAGGGCGTTGTAGTTCTTATTGGCTGAATGATGTGTTATAATGTAATCCAGTTTTGAAATCCAGTTTTGAAAACTAGAAATCCAGATTTGGCTTGGTTTAACTTGGAAAGTTCAGCATAGGGGAGAGAATATAGGTCTTACATTTATGCTTCTTAAAAATCATTTTTTTTAAATACACCATGTTTTTTTTGTGTTTGCTGAAAGTGACCACTTCCAGTTTTGTTTCTTACTGCATGTTTTGTTCTTCACGACAGAAATCAAATTCATTTCAAAATTTTTCAATCTCGCTTACATGTGCTTCATGAAAATTATCTTTGGGAGAAAAACAAAACAAATCAGGGATCTTTCTAGTCTTGTTTGAAGACAGGATTTGTAGTTTATTCCATTTATACAGCCGGTCCATGACAAGGCGAGAGGTGACAAGATGAATCGAAACCAGTCTTGGCAATATTGGCAGCGCTAACCAGGAAATTCCGAGTACACCTCACACGCACTGTATTCAAGCTAATGCATGCTTTCCTCGGTAGCGCTGCCAATATTGCCAAGGCTGGATTTGATTCATCTTATTAATGCTACAAACCTCCACCCCCGCGGCATCTTTACCGCGTTTGTCACGGGACTGGCTGCAAAATAGGGGAATAAAAACTCAAGTCCAGTCTTGGAGTAAGACTACTACTAGTATCTTTCATGTCTTTGGGAATAATTCTTTGATGGTTTTAATTCTTAGTGTGGACTTTAAAATTACCCTGTATCATCACTACTCATGCACAATGCGTTGGTTATAAAAAAAATTAAGGACATTTGAATGGGCTGTTTTCATTTAGTTTAATATTCAGGAAGTGAGATTTTCTTTCAAAATCATCTTTAAGTTGAATTTCCTTGACTGATAGAAGTATCCAATAGTGCACCGAATTTGAAGTTAAAATGTTGTGGTGATATGGGCATGTATTTATTCTGACTGTCGTCTTCATGTGTATTGTGTATTTTCTTTTCAGCTTGGAATGTTTCACTTTTGAAGCAATCTTTTTGGTGATGGTGTTTCTTTAGATTTGTTGCTTATCTTCTGTCATGTCTGTAGTTGAGGATGATTTGTTTCACACTCAGATATATGGGATATTATTTCTCCATGTTAAGAAATGCTGCCTTGTTAGAATGGGGGGGGGGGGTGGACAGTTTTCACATTGGCTTATCTAGCTCCCAGACCCATGTTCTTGAAACTCAATGGTTCTTGAGTTGGGAGTGCTGAATGGTATATGTTCTCATCGGATGACGTCAGCCCGCCCCACCTATAGCTGCTTCCGACTACAAAATATTCAAACCATTGCGCTACAACTTAAACATTTATCGATTTTAAGAAAATGTTGAATTCCTTTGCAAGAACCTCCATTTTGTCATCCATAGCATTTCATGCATTACTTTTAATTTTTACTTATGGTTTAGTTATTCACAAAAATACTTTTTTGACTGAAATGTGAAGTGCCTTTGTTGTCAATTATGACAGGATTTTGTAGGCCTAGTTGTTTTGTGGTTCTGTTTTGCTGGTCAAATCTCCATTTCAAAATGTTGCATTTGTTTTGTTCTGAAATTCAATGTTATCCAAGTTTGTCCGACTGAGGATTGGCTGGGAATCTGGCATTGTTGAAGTTGAGTAACTTAAATGCAGATGCCAACATTTGTTTGTTTCGTTTAGTGCATCCTGGCTGAACATGCAACTGGATGGCTAGGATTGATAAATTCAAGCATGTTACATCATCATTCAAATAATGGTACAATCAATGGTGCAATTTTAGGACGAAAAAAAACCACACTAATTATTATTTGTTTTCGGTAATGAAACCAAGGATTCCTCAAAAGCGCCATTGGCACTGTAGCTCGCAAGCCTAAAGAAAGCTGTTGTGAGAAGACAAAAGACTAGAAGACATTACAGTTTTAGAGGTGGGAGGAAAACCCCAGAAGAATATTCTGGGAAAAACCCACGGAATCAGGTAGGGACTGAACACCCAATCCAGGAATCGAACCCGGGTCACAGCGGTGGAAGGCGAGGACAGAACCATTGCGCCAACCTGTTTCAGGTATAAATGATACAGTACCTTGTAGGAACACACGTTAAACGTCTGACAAAGTGAACGTCTCGAAAGCTACAGATGGGTAACAGCAATTCTTGTGTTCGCCTCTTTCAAAATGGCAAAGTCTTAATATCGCAGTGCAGTGGCACAATAATATTGAGCATTGTTCTTGTAGTTCTGCAAGATATTTTGGATTTGCAATACATCAATGTTAATTAGCCGCAGAAACAATGTACGATGTGTACATGTACATGTCAATTTAAGAACAGTAATACGCAAAACGAAAGTCGTTTCTTACTATTGTAATAGTTATTTCATGATCATAAACCACAACAAGACTTCCGGGGGAATGGAGTACTTATACCAAACGCTGTAAGGAATCTGTTGATCAAAATGCCATGTCTTTGAATTTGGAGCAGAAAGGGAAACACTCGATGATTATACCTGTATATAGAAAAATGAGCACTTTGATTTTAATCATGGCTGAAAATGTGTCAACTTTAGGATAATGCATGTGCCTAATAAACACTGCCACTGGTTGGCGGGTATAAAGAGAAATACTTTCGGTGCGCATGCGCGCATTTGCACGTGACACTTACAGAGCTTCCACTTATTTACGTGTAGTCAATCGAATGGACTGTTGTATCATTCAGGAATTTTAAACGTGTGCGTTAGCAAAAACCAAATCAGTAGTTGTGCATTTTGTCACGGGCAACCAGTCCATCAAGCCCCACCCATTGTGCACGTGGGCTGCTCCAGTCACTCGCGTCACACACTAATCATGGCTGTGATTGGTCAAAACATCATAGGAGGGCGGGGCTAAGTGGATTGGTCCAGTTGCTGCGTTTAGTTGAAATATAACTGGATGGGTTTTGAAGTACATGCCGCATTGATTACGAGTGTGAGAGTGTATTTTTGCAAAAGAAAAGAAAATTGACGTGATTTTACAAGTAGTGTCTTAATATTTGTATGTGTAAATAATGAGAAAAGATACATAAAAATGTGCCAGAATTGAGCCGTTTTAAAACGGAAGTTGTAACACGAAATGCATGTATAACTAACTTGTAGTTCCGTATACAACTTTTAATAGTTTAGCGTAACGTGTCCACGATTCCAAAGAATTGTACTATTTAAAGTACGTCACCTATATAATGTTAATAACTTTGATTTTAAGAACATAATTCGATAACACTGCACGAACATTAATGAAGAATGAAAGACTGTTCGTTTGAAATGTAACACAGAAGAGGCCATTTCAAACAGATATATCAATAACCAGTCAACGTTAAGGCAATTGAAAAAATAACGGTGAAGAGCGAAATTGAAAATAATTTGGCTCGTAGTATTTGCAAACTGGATAGATTAAAGTTTGCCCTGGAACAATATTGAAAGGGCAACCGCATGCATTCAACAAAATAAAGAATGCTTTCATGTGCTGGACTGTGACCACAAATTAAAATGTTGGGATTCATTTTCACCGTTTGTTCAACACTAGTCATATTCAGCCTGCGAGTGTATCAACGATGGCTTTTGTGATCGTTGTTCATGTATTATGATGCAACAATAGGGGGAAATATGTTATAAAGTACATTGTCACGACAGTCGTTTTGAGTGCTGCGTCTTTAATAGACATGAAAGACTGTGACATAATGACGTCCCGATTTTTTCCTGTGCGCTTTCTTACGGGCGCTCGTTGGCTTTCGTCCCCATGGCAGCTTTATGCAAGCGCACATGTTCATGTAAAAGCGTGACGTCATTATTTTTCAGGCCCATTGGGCACATCTTTAACAGTAAACATGTGGATTTTTGAACTAAGGTGCATTTATTTGTTCCCGCTCATAGTCGTGTTTGATGATATCAGAGATTAGATTGCCTAGTCATGAAAAAGCAATGATTGAGGTATTTTTCATGCACTGATTCGTTTTGCTTCAGAACTGATTTGAAGAGTGAAATAAAGAATATGTAGAAAAACAACAAACACAAATTTGGAATTTCTTTTGTTAAATATTTCCTTGTTACGTTTTTATTTATTTAATATAGGTTTTCTCGGTCAATTTCGGCAAATGAGCAGCCAATTTAATTTTCGTGCGTTCGAATTGAAGCTATTTTGCCTCTCCAGTTGTTACTGCGTTTCAAATTCAGAATTCGGCCATTCAATTTCGTTTTGAGGCATTCAAATTCCTTTAGCACTGTGTTCAATTTAGCATATCGTCATTCTTTTTCGTGACACACAATCATCATTCAATTTAGCAAAGCTGGTTCGACTGGAGATTTTACTGATTTAATTTTTTTCAATTTCGTAAAGAGGCAATCAATTTCGCTTAAAGAGAATTCAAATAAGTACGACTAAAGAAAAACGAATAAACAGATAAACTGTACTAGGCAACTGTTTCGTATCTTCACTTTAATTCAGGCAAACCTTGTTTTCTTTATTTATGCTTCCAGTAGACTTTACATGGGGCCAATGAGGTTTTTTCTTCTTCTTTGTTTTCTTCTTCATTTTTTTTTTTTTGGGGGGGGGGGATCTTTATTGGTTAACTGACCAAGACCTAATTTTGTATTGTGTTTGAATGGGGTGTTTCTTTATGTTTTTCCTGGTTTTTTATTGTTTATGTTGTTTCTTCCTCAACCATCAATCTGTTGCCGTGCCAGACATCTTGGCATATATGTTTGGGTATGGTTGTACCACTGCATGCACTTCACTTGGGTGATGACATCAACGCTCTGGATGGCTGCTTGTTGAAGGAGATCGCACCTCCACTGCTGCATGTTCATTCTGCTTGCTGGGCAGCCTGTCTGTCTCCGACACGTTGTTGCCACTCAGGTAACCCAAGGATGCGTTTAACTGCAGCCTTGAATGCAGAGTGTGCCATCTACGTGCTGTTCAGGAATGGGGAGTAGGGAGGGAGGCGCTTCAGCTGGATCATTGGGTTGGCACCTTCATGGAGTTGGGCTCGCACGTGAGGCCTCGCATTGTCGTATATGAGGTAAATGGGTTCGTCGTCTGGGAAAACTGCATCACACTCTTGAATTGTGTCTGCAAGAAACTCCTCGAATCTCTCTCGCGTCACAGTTTCGAATGCGATTCGGTGGTGCACCAAGCCTACTTCACTAGAGACAGCGAAGGTGACATTGCAATTTATCCCTCGTTGTCTGTCGACGACTCGTCTTGCAGCGATCCCTCGTGGAGCTCTACCCTGGGAGCGTCGAGTCCAGACGTTATAACCTGTCTCGTCAATGAAGACTAGATGCGCCAGAACACCATGCTGCAGGAACCACTCACCATACTGGACGCGTTGATCAAGAACTTCAGGGGAATTTCTTGCATCAGGGACGTCCTCCACTAGTTTCAGTGTAATTATCATCCCATCCAAGGCCCTGGCTATGGTGGCAGTAGAAACCTGGGGCTTCTCTGGCAGATGCTCACTCAAACTAGCCTTCATTTGTTGACGTGGCAAGACGGGATTAGCGTCAAGGATGCCTTGCAGATGGTTTCGCATGTCATCATCCATCTTGCTGTGGGTTGCTCCTCCTCTTGCCAGCGTCTCTCGCCTTCCAGTCCTCAAATATGTTGCAACAATTGATCTGGCTGTGGACTTGTTGATCAAGTTCAAATTGACCGCAAGCTGAAGGTAGTCTTGCTCGTTTCCCTCGAAGGCCTCAATCAACCTTTCTCGATCTACCTGGGCCACTCTAGCGTAGCGACCACGAGCTGCCATTTCTAGAAATATGCGTGTAAAACTGTAGCGAAAGCTCGTCTTCGAAGTACATCGGCAAAGTGACTCAAGTGCCAAAAAGTGAACCGTATTTATGCCTTCAACATTCTTAAGGAAACAAAAATTTAACAAAGCGTTTTTTAGATTGCACAAATTCCAGAAATGACTGCCCAAAAATGAATTTGAATGACTAAACACACGCCTCAAAAAGCTCCTGCGAATTTGAATGCTGCTTTGTTGAATTGTTAAATTGCATGATTATTTTGTTAAATCGAATGACGCAACAGTACATTTGACTGGTCATAAAACGAAATCGAATGACCCGCTTCAGTAGCATTTGATTTCGCGCGAAATAGAATAGCGTAGTGGTTAAATTGGCTGCTCATTTGCCGAAATTGACCGAGAAAACCTATATATAGAGCTGGATGGATATAAAGCTGGCCCTAGCACTAGGTCGACCTAGCACCTGTGATTTGCTTGCACCGCTGTGGAACCGTCGGCATCAAGCACACAAGTCATGCTAAGGTCACAAAAGTGAGAAATCGTGTGATTATCGTAAAACGAGCGGCATCTTAACATAGAATAATCCTAGCCATGCTCACGTCATCCACAACGCGACGACAATTCACAATAAAATCAGATGATCCAGTTGCGCGTACCAGGCGCGGATCCAGGGGTGGGCCGCGGGGGCACGTGCCCCCCGTCAAATTAAGTCCACAAAAAAATTAAATGAATAAAACAGTGAGGAAAAGATGGGGAGGTGAGAGAAATGGAGGGAAGGAGGAGGGCAACCTTCTAGCAAAAATACTGGTGCCGATATTAAACATCAGCGGCCTGCAAACATTGTGTACTGGGCGTATGACACAGGGAACTCGAGAAGCTTCGAAATAAACCGCGATCCCGGCCACCGTACGTACTCCATACGCAGCCTCGACTCCAGGGGCGCGTGCTCGTTCCTTATAACCCTGGCTGTTAACTTATTAAATTATATTAATTTATCATAAGTTATACTTTAGTGGAGTTTTTTTTCTTCAGATTTCCTGCATGGCTATATTGCTCTTCAGTCGTTGATAAAATGAGGTTCTCCCGGATACAATAATTGTGCATGTTTACTTGATAGGAATAAAAAAGAACACAGTTTATTGAAACCAGTGAATTTGCTAGAACGTAGCTAGAGGGGGTGACGTGGGAGTCGGGCAGTCGCCAACTGACGCACGACATTGTGGGAAACAAAACAAATACACAAATAAATACATACATAAATAACCTTTCAATATGAAAACGAATAAATAAATATACGTACAGGAAAATATAACATCTGTTGTTCTTGTTTTATTGTTTGTCCCAGTTAATTTGTCTCCGATTCAGACTAACAATACCTCGGCGTGGAACATAGACACATCCTGTCTATTGAGCTGTAGAGTAAACAAAGGAAGGCGGATTTTATCGTGGCGATATTTTGTTTCTCTTTTGCATTTAATTCATAAGGCATACATAACAATTTCGAAATTTTGAGGGATTTTTATTATGATGCAAAACATACCCCCGGATTTAGTCCACATCTGTTTATAGCTTGAAGGTGTTGTGAAACTTCTGGGAATCAAATTAAAACTGTGAACTAGGATTTTTTGCTTTGCAATGACAACGTCATATGCAGGCGTAGCATAAACGTTAAGTCTACTTTCCAATTAAGTGCTGAAAGCAGACAGCAAGTATGATGGCAAGATGCACGCAGTCAGGGAAGTCACAATTTATGAAATAATTCCTGCAAAAACGTATAAAATGGTGTTTGTTATGGTTCCAGAAGACTGGACGAGTGTCCTCTTTGTGACTGTTATTGACTGACCGACCGACCGAACGACCGACCGACCGACCGACCGACTGTTAATTCTGATTGAGACTAGTGAAGAGAACATAATGATTGGTTCATTTCGGTCCATAGTGTAGACTATATGCATGGAACGACTGCCAGTGAATAAAGGGGTGAGTGAAAAAGAAAGCGACTATCTTACAGAAAATATTTCAAATATGTGACTCGCTCCATTTCATGGAGCACCTTTATTTACACATAAAAGGAAATATATGTTGAAATTATTATTTTATTAATGCCCACAATTCTTCAAATAAGTCCAATATTGGGCACAGTTTTTAATCGTCACGTTTCTAAGTCACCAGAAACAAAATGTAATGAGAACAACATAAAAAAAAAAACCCCAGGAATTTGCTTTTCGAATTCATCGCCGATTTCTCTACTCGAGATGAATTTCACAATTTTAATTTTGGGCATTTTAAATATATAGGCATGCCCCATTCGGTTCGTTAGCAAAAATGTCATACTCACGCGCACGACTGATTACTAGCTTTTTATGGAAATAAATGTTGCTGAAATTCAATTGAATATAAATTGAGCTGCCTCTCCCTTACGTTTCAATATAATGTCGCTTAAAATTAATGCTGGAGCACTTGTGCTATCCAGATTTGATTATTGCAACTCTCTCCTCGATGGTAACAAACAATAATGTTGATTGACTCCAATGGCTTCAAAACAATGCCGCTCGTTTCATATGATCACAACCTAAATACACACATGCCTCTCCACTCCTTCAACAATTACATTGGTAACCAGTCAGACAACCATCAACTTGAAAACAGCAGGTTTCATGCACAAAGCTCAACATAACACAACGCCTAAGTTCATGCAGGCGCGGATCCAGGGGTGGGCAGCGGGGGCACGTGCCCCCTGTCAAATTAAGTCCACAAAAAAATTAAATGAATAAAACAGTGAGGAAAAGATGGGGAGCTGAGAGAAATGGAGGGAAGGAGGAGGGCAACCTTCTAGCAAAAATACTGGTGCCGATATTAAACACCAGCGGCCTGCAAACATTGTGTACTGGGCGTATGACACAGGGAACTCGAGAAGCTTCGAAATAAACCGCGATCCCGGCCACCGTACGTACTCCATACGCAGCCTCGACTCCAGGGGCGCGTGCTCGCTCCTTACACTAACCCCTGGCTGTGATGATGACGTAAATGACGCTGAATGGCTATTCACAGCGTACTGCGCGGGCATTTCGAAGATTGCACGCCGGGCGCGCCCATAATGCGCTCGCGCTCGCGTGCTTAGCTTTGCACGTAACGTCACGTACGAAAAAAAAATTATGATTCAAAAGTCGCGATGCCTGAACGATATGGATTATGTCAGCCGCGTTTTTCGCTAAAAAAAACCTGTATCTGTGGTTGTAAAGGCACGAAAGGGGTACATACATTT